CTCAGCTATCACATTACCATAATACACGGAAACAACACCTCGCATGCTGTTACCGCAGTAATTTGAAAACAGATTGACAGGATTTACAAGTTCTCAGCTTGTCTTGGTTGTGACCTCTGTGACCTCAATCTCCACCGTCAACTTTTGGAGTGAAATCATACGTTGGAAGCTTATTCGCAGTTGTTGCAGACTTTTCCAGGATAATCTGGTATTATATATAATAATGAAATTGAATTTCTTTACACTACATCAAAATGAAAACAAAAAAAAATATATATATATATTTATATATAGTGTGATTCTATAATTGACCCTACTTGCTCCTTCACACAGAGCTGACAAATCCCTCAGGCCTTGTGTGTGTATGTCACCCTGTTGGATTATATAAAAACGTATTTTGAAGATACTGTGAACAGATCAACTGCAATATTGTGAATTAGTGTCATCTAATAGATATGTGCCGTCTATGCAAAGTGTTACGTTGAAATGCCATCAGTAAAAACAAATGGATACAAAAGGAACCACTGACACAATGTCGAGTTACATTTAAGGATCAAATACTAAAATGTAAAAGTTTTTGTTGATGATGCAGTTTAAGATAATTAATTCTAAGTGGTTTAACAACATTATTCATATTGTATTCCAATAATAAAATCTAGAGTGCAGTTTATGAACTCTTTCAGGAATAAAGATTTAGAAACAACAAACTATCAACAACCTGTTTGACATGCCATTTATATGTCAATATTTTAAATGAATTGCCAAGACCCATTGCTTTTACCTTTACAAATATTCGCAAATCAATTGGATTTCTTTCTGTCTTTTTTTTATTGACTGACTTTAAATGTTGGTTTAACAATAACCATTAAAACATCAGGCATTTGTTTAAAAATGCATACCGCTTCATTTTGTTCTGATTCATAAAAGCAGAAGATGATAATTCCCATTGATTTAGACGGTGCTGAAGCCTCAGAGACTCCTCACACACTGAGCGCCTCTGCTGCTGGAGGTGAAACATTTGTTTAGAGGGACACACTGCCACCCAGTGTTACAGGCTGAGAGGCAGGAAGAGATCAACTATTACTAGTGTGTCCACTTAGCTCTGCACTCCTGTCCCATGTTAACTTGGTCCAGAGAACCACAATAACAGTCGGTCTGCCACCCTGTCTTTTATTCTAGAATGGTGATTATTTCCATCCATTACAGTCCGATTATCCAGAGCGCAGAAAGGATTTGATTGTACATAATTCACATGATCATGTTGTGTAAATACTGCAGCGCCTCTTAAATCCAGCTAAATCAAAAGAAATGTACAGTTGGGGACAGTTTACAGACAATCTCTCCACCCACGTTCCTATTTGAGTGCAAAAACATAAAAGAAACAAAATCCCAAAAGAACAGTTAGAAGTTAAAGACGATTTATTTTCATAGCCCTGTTGTTTTTTTTCTAAAATATTCAATAGACTTCACAATATCATCATTATCATGTTAGTAGAGTGACAGCATGTTTTGAGATATATGCCTATTTTATATACGGGATCTGTATACTAAGCTCAATGAAATGAGCTTAAAATGTAATATTATCCCTAAGCATTACTATATTAGCAATAATACAAGCTTTATAAATAATATTTTTTTAATGTCTGAATGACCTTCAACAAACATCCAACCTGCCTGCCGCCACGGAACCGTGGCGCTTTCAGAGCGTGTCACAGGTGGCAACCGTCTCCTGTGAAGCCCGATTGGCTCCCGTACAGACGTCCAGATTCCTCTACGGGTGGATTCTGACAGACTTTGAAATTGGGCCGTTTCAGTACATCGGTCACAATGTGATTGTTAGAACATGTGAAGTTACACTATGTGGTCAAAGTCACCACACGTATACTACATGTTCTATTTATGTACACATACCCTTTCATGGCACAAACTGCATGAATTATATCTGACTCCATTTGTTCATCAATACTGTTTAACATAATGGTCCGATACATTAACCACAGCTGGATGAAATCTAGAACAAACATCAGTAAACTTAAACTTAACAAACATAAACTTAAATCCTTCTCCGATAGAATGAAATCAATGATCTTTTTCAGAATGTTTTACTTTTAGTTCAAATTACGCATTCGTCTCTGCTTTAGTTCCTCTATAAACCAGAAACTCACTGCACCACCCCGGTGACTCCCAGCGGTCGCTTAAACAACCACTTTTCTAACATCTATGGGCTTCTTCATTGCTCTGCTCTGTTAAACCAAAATATTTTCACTTTTTGTGTCTCCATTTTACCTAAAATCCTGCTAAAAATACAGCAAAAACATCCTGGATTTACAGCTATTTGCAAATGTTCCATAAAACATGTGTATGTGACCTGAAGCATGATAATAATTGTAATCTATATTGATTGTATGACGTTATTTGTGTCGTCAAACGTTAAACTGGCTCGTGTAAGCCCTATTCCTACATTTTTAAAGATCAGAGGGGGCAGTGCAGACTGTCAATCGATTCTTTTGTTCACCCAAATCCTCATCAGCATGAGGCTGAGCCTCCATTATCGACCGGGAACGAGGAGGAGGGACGGAGAAATGGACAGACAGAGCATGAAGAGAGATAGTTAGGGATGGGGAGAGATAACAAGGAGGGCAAAGTACCCTGTAGGATTAGCAAAAAGGGTGGATAAAAGGGAGCAAGTGTGACTGCAGATATAGTCGCATATAGAGGGAGAGGGGGGCCGGGGGGGGCTGAAGATGAGGGAATCATGCGCTGTAACTTATCCCCCCAGTTCACCAAAGACACTTTGGCTCATGGAAGCACGGAGGCCAGACTCCAGGTAGCCGCTGGGAACTGAGAGTGCATTTTTTTTCACGCCTAAGAGGCTCTTGCTTGTACCTAACTGGCTACACTGGCCACCGGACCTGTGCACTGGTCCCAGCTTGGTGCTTTGTCTGTGCTGTGACTAATCCAGGGGGGGGTCCTGCATTTTCTCTCACCCTAATTAAAAGAGGATTAGATGGGATGGAGCTCTGGGCCACTTCAACATGCACAAACCACCATCACTTCACTTTCCCAATATAATCACACTTGCCTGGAATTGCCTGGATTTTCTGTGCACGCCGCCACCTGAACTCCGCGGACGAAGCCGCTACTGAGAATGTAGCTGAGACTAAATGAGGCTTACTCATATGGATTGGTCCACGAAAAAAAGGGCAATGAAGCAAATCCCAAATACACACTGCAAAGCTGGCAAAATAAGATTTACCATATGCCATCATTTTTTAATAACCCCTGCATGTGCTGCCAGGATATATAAACCTTGTAGTGAATGTGACTTCAGCCTATTGATAAAAGAGAGATCTTTATTTTAATCCACTATTCCGTTTTTTCATAATCAGGCCCAGTCTGATGATCAATTGTAATTTAGAGAAACAGCAGTTCATTTAATTGAACAGCAATGTCAGCTGTGATTAGAAAAGACTAAAAAGTGAATTAAACAACCACATCACTGTGACGTGCGGTGACAATTTGTGTCGGTGAGGCAACGACTCTTCTGCTCCTTCTGCAAGACTAAAGAATGTCTCCACATATTTAAAATACATGACCAACAGACAGAGGACATATGATAAAAGTGTCTAGGCGCATAACAGTGGTGACAAGCAATAGGAAAGCAAAAGGCACACGCTCAACCCAGCTGAGGCACAGCTCGATGCCGCCTCACCCCACCTGTCTCCTCTCTCTTTGAACAAGACATGCGCACATTAAACGTTTTTGAATCTAAAAGTGCTTGAAGTCATACAGAAATTATACTTATAGCAGAAGAGAAATATTCATATCTATCCCGTCATTATTTGTTTTTTTTAGCTTTCATGATGGCCTCACCTGCCCGCATGTCCCCTGACATCCTTTGGGGATTAACTGAACAAACCAGATAAATCCCCCTGCTGTTGATGATGTTACAGAAGGCCTGCTGAGTGCTTGAGGGCAGTATGTGCCCAGCACGCAGACCTGTAGGCAGCTTGAGCAACCCGCCCCCCCCCCAGGCAGCCACATTGGCACCACACCTGCTACTGACCTCATTTTCAACTTGCAACTTTTTCAACTCAAATTTTGAGTTTTGGATTAATAATGACAGCAAGTACCTCACACAAATGTCATGTCCATTGTCACTCCCAGGACCAGAGTGCTCATTGAGTTGCTGTTACGGTTATTTGTTTTATATCAAAGTTTTTTCTTGTGTTGTCCTCCAACATACAATATGTACAGTACATTACAAAAAACGTTTGTTTAACAAGCTTTTTATCTTCCCTATTTGTTATGTAGCCCATATAGATTTTATTCAAGTTATGTGACAAACCGCACAGCCCCCTTTATTCTTTATCTGGTGACATTTGATTTTTTTTCCCCTCAACTTGCTGAATAAATTTATAGAAAATATGTGGACTGTGTAGAAAAGGTTGCAGGCACCATATGCCCATGGACGCAAGGGCACAAGGGCGACACAATTATTCTGGTATTACTGGAGGGACAATAAACCTCTTTTGCATGCTGAATTCTACCTCTGAAAGTTAGTTTGGAAAGGTTTTGAACGGGAGCTGCTTTCAGCTGTTTACTTGTTCTGCAAAATGGCCTATAAATAGTCCTCTCAGTTCAGCCAGTTTATGGTGCTGGCCACTTTAGATCCTAGGTGCCACAGAGAAAACGGTCCAACTGCACGCCGACGTTGGGATTTGGGAACTCTTCTTTTGTGAATGGACCTCTGGGGCCTCGACCTCAATCAGGCACATATCGGCTGCAATGTATTTGGTTGGTGATTGGTGATGTTTGGGGAATGTAGCCTCTACACTCTCGAGACGAAAAGTAAAAATACAAATGCAAGACCTTTACACGACTTCTTCCCCAAAGACAGACCACTAAGATTAATTTCGTGTGTGAATTTGGTCTTCTATTTTGAAGGCGGAAACGCTCCCTGGAAAACATGCCTCCGCTTTACGCGTCACAGCCCCTACAAGTCACGTGAAGGGGTAGAAGCCGAACAGCGAGGGCATCGACCTGCTCAGCAGCAGACCGCAGGCACGGGTCCACTGCGGCACACACGGGGCAGCTCGCCTCCACCACTGCACATCCGAACCGCTGTATGTTATGGATACCGACAACGAAGAGGTAGCCATGAAAGAATCCAGGAGACGAGAACGGCAAACAGGTGACGCTCGCATACTTCCTAAATGAGGGGGACTTGGAAATAGAAGAAAATAGCAAACACAGGGTCAGCCGTTGACGTCCGCGCGCCGTAGCTAGGGCTGCCTGACGTTAGCATGTTGAGCTAACAGGCTAAAGTTAGCGGTTGTAAACGTACCGTTACCCAGCTAGCATGCTGGGGTTGAAAAGACGTTTAATTCTTTCATTTCAACCGAATTTCAACGTTGAATTTACGTCTAGTGGTCACTTGGTAGTGAGTTACAGTAAAGTGAAAGATAACTTGGATATATCGACAGCTTGCGTTCCATCCTTCAATTAAGGTCATGTTGGTTGATGGTGTTGTGAGAATGTTAGTGCACCTATATGGTGACATTTACGGTTTTAAACATGTAACCTGAACAAAAGCTATTAATCAATCAATAATTCTCCAAAGCCCTATATTTGTTTGTTCAAAAGGATAATTTCTCAATATTTGCTTTCGAAAGCGTCTTTCTCAATTATTTCAAACAATCCAAAAGCATTCTAGTTTTCAGATGTCCTAAACATGTACATCAATCGTTGCTGTATAATAGTGTGCACAGAGATCCTTAGCACATGTATTAGTCATTTATTGAGAAAACTATTTCTATTGCAGAAATATTTACATTATGTTTTTGAACATACACATTTTTTACTTTTACTTTGGAGGATTCTCTAAATTTGTACAGTAAAAATATTAAATTTTCTGTACAAGAGTTGTCAGAGAGGTCCTGAACACATACTTCAATCATTGTCTGGAATTATTGATTAAATAGCGTTTATTCAGGTTACATGTTTAATACCGTAAAAGTCAGCACATAGGTGCACTAAAATTCAAGTGTATACCAAGTTGACCACATAAATCCTGCTGTTGTGACAGCTGGGTTGGACCCTCAGACACGTGGTTAGTGGGAAATGACCGCTGACGCCTGACCAGTTAATGTCATTGGCAGGAATTACTCTGACTTCCAGGCTGGGTTGTGCTTGCGAAGCCACATGGTGATCAGTATTGATTAAGTTGGTGATGTAATGTTGGGGATGATGATGAGCAGCAGCCCACCGACCCAGTCCAATCAATGACTGTTTTTTTCATTATTTAAAGCATGTATCCATTATTCAACGTTACTGTTAGTCGTTCTATGGCATCCTGACTTATAACTCTGTCTGTAGGTCCAATGAATTTACATGATCTTGAAGGTAGGGATCTCATCCATTGACTGGCTGCATGTTGTCCATAGCTGATTGTGACTGAGTGAAATGCTGCAGGCAGGAAGGATGATGTGCTTCTTGTGCTAAATCTAATAAGTGCTATAAAGTAGTGTGTGTGTGGGTGGGTTACTAACTATACTCATTTGCAAAAAGCTGGTGTTCACAGATGGATGAATGGGAGAAAATTCCCAGGTCACACCTGAGTGAACATGGTTTTTCTTCAAACAGCTGTTTGAATGCGTGTCAAATTAAGTGTATATTGAGATATTCCCACGAACGTATTTGTCTTCTGCCACCTCGCCCCCCAGCGTTGGAGAATTCCGACTCTGACATTGGCTTGTGTGGCTGGCTGCTGGTGTCGCTCTCCATTCTCCTCATGCTGGTCACTCTGCCCGTCTCCGTATGGATGTGCATTAAGGTCAGCGAGCGGTTTGTACCGCAAACGCATATCCAATATTATGTGTCCTTATTCAACAGTCTTCTTCTTGCTTTGGTAAAAGTATCCTCAGTGAGCAGGGTGATTGTCGAATTTTCTAATTACATGTTGAATGTCAAATAAGAGAAACAAAGGACTCTTAGATCATACTGCTATTCTGCCCTCTGTACACAGATTGTGAAGGAGTACGAGCGAGCTATTATCTTTCGTCTGGGGCGCATTTTGCGAGGAGGAGCCAAAGGTCCAGGTTAGTCCTTCTGTATATATATTTTATTGTCACAGCCCGGCTCTCAGACTGCAACAAAACCAGGAGACGAGCGAGCAAGCTAAGAGGAAACAATCAAACAATGTACCGGGAACAGACAACCAAAACCACAGGGAACCCTGGGATATGGGAGGAGGAGGGTCGTCATATATATATATATATATATATATAATTAGTATGTGTGTGTGTATGTGTATATATATATTATATATAAAAGCTCAATAACAACACTCCAGTAACACGTTCAGACCACCTTTCCTCCTCCCGGCTCCTCTAGCCAACATTATTGAACGTTAAATCTCGTAGCGCTGCCGTTGCTCGGCAGTAATCTGCTGTGTCGGCGGAGCGGAGGTCTCTGGGGACGGCAGGAAGACAATAACTCTGTATTAAGGTTCATAAAATGGAACTGATTTTACTTTCATGTGGGATAAAAGTGCTCTGCTGGCTCCTGCTGTTTTCAAAACAACCCAAAACATTTGTGCTGGAGGTGGGCTGCGTGTTCAGTCGGATATGAAACACGGAGGTGAGATCCAATCGGAAGCGATCAACTCCAGACACACTTGGAGCCGAACGTAGATGACAGGTCTCCCAGTCTGCGCTCCCCCCCCCAGCCTAATCAGGGACGGGCTCGTCGATGCAGGTTCATCAGCAGACACATGGCATTTTTCCAGCAAATGCTCTGCTGAGATTGTACTGCAGCCCTTTAGTTCTCGTGTGAGGCTTTTTGTCTCGCTGCTTGGTTGTATTGAGGTCATTTGACTGACTAAGACAGCCTTGCTTTAATTAACTCTGCAGCTGTTCTTTTAATTGGACAAATATACACACTGATCATCTCTTTTAAAAGGGAACGTCTGTATGCTCCCCTACTGGTCATTGCTTGATTGCAGTGTTGGTCTCCAAAGCCAAACCAAATACGGAAATGTCTCAACTTTGAAAGGAAGTTTAGAGGCGTGTTCCCCGTGAAAAACCTTTCATCTTCAGCCGTAAATATCTGATAAGTGTCTGATATTTGTTATTTATGTTGTTGCCTGTGAATATTGATTCTGAACTTTAAAATCACATAGTTTTGCTTTTTAACCCCAACAGGCCTTTGGTGTCTGCAGGGAATCCCCAAATCTGTATTGTTTCACGTATCAATGCTCATGTTGTTTGTACACAATCCAAACTCTGATGCCGTTCATATTTTCAATACACAGTTGAATTTCATGAAAGCTTCACTAAGCTCAATAAAAGAGTAAATACTCTGAGATAAATAAAAAAACATACTTAAGAGTCTCCCAGCACGACGGCCGCTCTGTGAGGTCACACAAGAAACACAATCTTAGTTTGCTACTTGAAACAAAGAAAAAGAGACCAATGAAAATGTTCGTTAGTTCGGCATTTGAACCTAAACCTGACAATCCATTCGTAGCATTTGCGACATTTCACTGCAAACCACGAACGTCAACTCGCTGGTTGACATCTTCATCCTGAGAGCCAGGCTGATAAAATGGCTCAACCTTCTCCGCATGGGAAGACTCGCATGCAGGTGGGGGGCCGCTACCACGTTTTCCCACCCATTCCTTTCCTGCCGGTGCAGGCTGACAAAGTCAAATGCAGATTGCAATTCCAAATTAAAACAGGGGAAATATGTGTGCCCAATAATAGGGAGAAGAAGCTCCACCTCCAGTTAGATGTGCTCCCAGTTCACTGAGCCATATTTCTGGTGATACAAATGCATATGTTTCTGTTCAAAGTCTGAGTGATGAAGTCATTCTATTCTCAGCGACGGGACGGGTTTTGAGAGGCGCTGGACTTGTTTAAGTAAAAAGCAAAATAAACTGCAGACTCCCACGAGGAATAATTTGCATGCATCTCATAACTCGCTGTCTTTTCATCTTTTGATTTCTTGTTTTATGGGACAGTCTCCTCTCAAACTGCTGAAATGCGACTCCTTGGAGTGCCAGGGGACGCCGTTTATGACAGTGTGCAGCAATAATAGCTCCCCGCCAGCAAACACACCTGAGGAGATGGAGAAACCAGGAGCCACGGCTGAAATCAGCATTTAGTTCCCTGTAACGCAACCCGCCCCCCCCCCTACAATACAGCCTCTTCCTGTAAAATTGCCACTTGGAGCACTTTATTTAGCGCAGTTTAAAACGTAAGGAAAGTGTGTTCGCAAAAGAAAATGCGTTGTTTGTGGAACTCTTTGCATCTGTATACACCCCCCCCCCCCTCCCAATGAAATCCTGCTTAATTGAAAGCAGGATTTCTCCAGGATGCTTCCACACGGTCTTGTGTGAGCGCGAGCGAGGCCTCTCCTCTCACCTGACAGGAGCCGCCATCGAGGTGAACGCCGGAAACGTTGCGACGGAGACGCCACCGGGAGACAGCTGTTGTCTCCCCCTCCCCTCCTAAGCAGATGGCTGTGATCTCGCCATTTAAAAACACAATATCCTGACAGGAAGGGCAGCCCCGCTAGTTTTTTTTTTTTTTCAAACTAATGTGGCATTAATGTTTGCTAAATGATTGCACACCTACCACATGTCTGTCTCGCTGCGGCACATGCCACGTGTCGTCTAATGCACTAATTCAATCAGCGCCACTTGAAACCGGCTCATGAAAGCTGCAAACATCCGCGGCTTTGCCTCGCTGTCAGCGCAGCTGCAGTCTTACAAAGAGAGCTCGACTTGGCCTCCTTCCATTCATCCCGGTGTTTTCAAACATTTGCAGAGACGCCGCCTCATTATTCTGTTTACAGGGGCTTTAGTCCTTGTGAAAAACTATTTGCGTTCTTGTGATTTCCGCAGGGCTGTTCTTCATCTTGCCGTGCACTGACAGCTTCATCAATGTGGACATGCGCACCATCACCTTCGACATCCCCCCCCAGGAGGTACGACACGCACACTTCCAATTACATGCAACAAACACTCTGTCGCATTCACAGGACGTCAAATTAATTTTAATCACTGAAGGATTTCTACCTTTTCTTTAAATGTAATGTATTTATTTTCGTGTTTGTAACCCCGTCCCGCTCGCAGGTTTTGACCAAAGACTCTGTGACGGTGAGTGTCGACGGCGTGGTGTACTACCGGGTCCAGAATGCCACTCTGGCCGTGGCCAACATCACTAACGCGGACGCCGCTACCCGGCTGTTGGCCCAGACCACCCTGAGGAACGTCCTGGGCACCAAGAACCTGGCAGAGATCCTGTCTGACCGGGAGGAGATCGCACACAGCATGCAGGTAGAGTCCAGAAGCTGACCTGCTTCCCGAGCTGGGGGGGAGAACCCGTGTGAGTTGGGGGGGGGAGAACCCGTGTGAGTTGGGGGGGGAGAACCCGTGTGAGTTGTGTGACGCCATCCTTTACATCACTGTCAACGCTCTCTCGCACGACCAATCTGTGCGAGTCCAGCGTTCTATCGGCCCAGGTTGAGAAAACAGTCTGTTTCAAAACGATATGTGCAAACCTACAACTTTTTCCCAGTCCAGATACGTCATCTGACCTTTGAGTATCCCCCAACACTGGACAGTTAGAAACAGGAACTGATACTAAACACTGTGACATGGTCTTTATATATGAAATGAACCCATTTCGCCTCCTCAGCCTTGGAGGTGATGTAGAGAATTGTGCGGAATTTGGCCGCCGGCTGCAGCGTATTTTGAGAGTTGATTCTGCTTCATGCTGCTAGCTAGTTTATCTCAGGTTAGCTAGAAAGAGGGTGCTTCGGCGTGTTGGGGGAGGGAGGGGGACATGTAAGAGAGACTCTCACTTGGTCTGATGACGTCGGCAAACCACGGAACAGGTTGTTTTAATTCATATCGATTGATTACAGGAATCATGAAAACGAGGGGTTGGTAAACATGTCAGACAGCCACATTAACATGTAGAAGCACAATGAAAGTCAAATTTTCTTAATATATATTTCTTAATATAATATGCCTGAACCCTCCGTCGTTTATACTAACAAACTGCGTTTAAAATGTAAATCTGCTGTAAACTAAGAACCTGAGGTGATCGTGTTCCATGGAGAGCACAGCTGCCTTAGAGTTCAATTATTTATTTATTCATTAAAGTTTTACTTCCAGTTTATGTTGAGCTTCTGTAACTGATATAATATTTATTCCTGATGCTCATGCAGTCAGCTGGTAGTTACATGCAATCTGGGCCCGGATAGAGTTTCAGAAGCCAAAGGCCGAGAGATAAATGCTGACATGACAAAAAGGTATGATTAAGAGTTGTATTTCAGCCTACATACTGCTTTCGTTTTAACGGTATGTAGAGTTTACAAAGCTGTTTATTGGGACTGCATCGGGGAAAAGCTGCATAACTGTGTGAGACCGGCGTGACACAGGCAATGAAAACTCTTTGCTCTGGTCACTGCCTTTTTACGTCCCTTGCTTCCTCCGCCCTCTGCCGTGATGTCCACACTAAGAACACGGCGCTGTCGTCTCCTGATGGCCAGCTGATGGTGGGTGACGCACTTCTAAGAGAACAGGGATTCAAGTTCATTTAATCATTCTATTATGTGTCAAATGAGGGCTTCTCCAAACCTTCCAGGTCAGCGTCCCCATTGACACGCATTAGAAAAGCCATCAGGGGAATGATTAACCCTCTTCCTCCTCCTGTATGCTGTTCTCATCTGGCGCGGGATTGATCTGGCACTCTATCTACAACATCAGTTTTGAAAATGCATTCACACGATGTCTGAGGTTCATTTGTCAGACTAGTGTGGAGTATCATGTTGTAGTCATTGGTTAAATCTTGGATGGTGTGAACTTACCTGGATTCTTTTGCTGTCTCAGAGTAGGTTCAGACCTTATCATCATTATTTCACAGGAGTCTTTGTCCTATTTTAATTAAATACAACAATAACAAAGCAGCTTCACTGCACTAAGCTGAGACACCAATCTGTTTATACGGTGTCAAGGTTTGAAAAATGTTCCTCTGCTTTAAATACTTGATGCATGATTTCTGTCTGCAAGAGAGAAACATGCGCTAAGTTGTAGCTCCATCTGCTGGACAAAGTGGAAAGAGCAGTTGCTCTTTTTTGCATTGGTCCCCCATCACGGGGCCTCGGTCCGTGGGCCACAGAATAAACGTCGGGCGGCCAGTTATTTTGTTGTGTTTATCTGTCAAACCTTCCAGACCGGTCTGCGAAATATTGTCTGTTTGGAAGAGAAAAGAGTTTCAGGCAAATCTTTAACTTCTTCTTTTTTTCCTTTTATAACACAAGAAATTGTTGACACAGCCGCTGCTGACAAAATGAGATCTTTCGCCAGAGGCACCCGAAGCTTTATAAAACCCTTTTTGACCTCTCTGTCTCCTCAGTCCACTCTGGACGATGCCACAGACGACTGGGGGATCAAGGTGGAGCGGGTGGAGATCAAAGACGTCAAGCTGCCCCTTCAGCTGCAGAGAGCCATGGCGGCGGAGGCCGAGGCCAGCCGCGAGGCCAGAGCCAAGGTTACCTTCTCAAGCCGCTTCCTGTAACCACACCGGGGTTCAGTCGCCACTCCTCCAGGTCGCTCACCCAGTCTGTGTTTGTCCTCCCACAGGTGATCGCGGCGGAGGGGGAGATGAACGCGTCGCGGGCGCTAAAGGAGGCCTCCCTGGTGATAGCGGAGTCTCCGTCAGCCCTGCAGCTGCGCTACCTCCAGACCCTCAACACCATTGCCGCCGAGAAGAACTCCACCATCATTTTCCCGCTGCCGCTGGAGATGATGCAGGGCTTCATCAAACACTGAGGAGGAGGAGGAGGAGTCTCAAAACACTGTTGTTCCAATTAGCGGTGTCAGGTTCTGGTTGTTTTGCTTTCAATAAGCCGAGACTCGTTGTCAGGTAACCAACTGGTAACATTTTAAAGAAAAAAACACATGAATTTAAAGGGTGGGGTCCTTTTCCTACGGCACGCCATTGATTCAAAGAGCTAAGGCGCCGCATTTCAAGCGTACATCTTATTCTATTGTTTTGTGTTGTAAATGCCTCTGCCCTTTATTTCATGTTCTGTTGGCAATGCAGAAGTTATTTATTATTCAGGTCACACTCAGTGGCCACGGATTGTTATCTCGTACTGTCAGTACGCATCCCTCGTATACATGCAGCATCACTACACACATTCACGCCACTGTGTGTATTAGTTATGCCTCTTTGCAGAGCTACGGTGGTGTTTAGGGAAGTGTTTGTGGATCCTGTTGATGAGAACCAACCGAGGCCGAAAGAAGCAAACGTATGTGTGTGTGTGTGTGCGTGTTGTACTGCAGAAGTTCCGATCAGACAAGGTTTGCGCTGTTTTTAACGAATCAAAGAAACGTGTTGTTTTTCCAAACATTTCAAAGGGAAGTGCCTGCTGGAGTCGTGGCCTTACAACACAAAAACATACACATATATATATATATATATATATATATATGCTATTATATATCATATGATATATATATTTTATTATAAAACTCACACTAAACTTCCATTGTGACCTTGAAGGCTAAAAGGAGCAACAGTGCGTACGCTCTACTGTAGTGGAGCAGCTACACTCCGGACGCTCTCGTGAAGGAAGAGCAGCACCCGTTTGCACTCCGATGGCGTAGTCTTGGTGGATTGGCTCTATCACAATGCTAACTTGTACGAGAGGTTATCAGTTAATCTTCAGATAGCGCTTTCTCTAAGTATGACTCCTAAGGTGACATGCAAATAATAACACTGAAACACACACGCAAAAAATGAGTCAAGTTGCCAACACTTCAACAGATGCATAAAACTTGGCTGGCAGTCAGGCTGGAAAGTACGTGTACATGATTACTGTACGGTTCCTATTATTTAGTCCAACCCTGGTCTCAAACGTTCAACGATCAGCCGAAAGCCTTAATTTACTGCGATTGATTAATGTTCCGGCCTAATCTCACATTTCTATGCATTTATTTAACACAAGCAACACTATTTGTATGCAATATTTGATCACATGTACGCTCTTTCTAGTGCCAAACAAGCCAAATATTTCAACTTCTTTGTGTTTATCGGACTTTAAATGACATGTAGGTGCTTCATCGCGGTTGTTACATTTCGTTTTGTTCGGGGTGAGTGAGTGATCGCTCCTCTGTGTATGAATGTCTATAATAAGCTAGTGCATGCTCGCCTCTGCCATCAGCGTGTGAGCGGATGCACGAGGATGTGTAGTGTTAAAGTAGTGTGTTTATATAGAGAGGACTTTGTTAGAGGACTCGTGTATGTCTGACTCATAAGTGTTACTATATATGTGTATGTATACAGTTTATATGTGTAAAAACAGCTGTCAAGTTTACTGTCATTTTACTGTGGCTATTCAGGTTTAAACTTTGGCTCTTTTTGCTTTTGTTAAATACAAAGACTGTTACATTGTTTTGACTCCTGCATGTTTGAGTCGCTAAAACAGAAAGAGAGGAAGTATTATTTTGGCTTCAGCTTCATAGCAAAGAATCTGGAGTTGTTTAAGTATTATGGTTCGTGATGAGTTGGTGATTTTCCATCTCTCTTCTCTACTGTTTGTGTTGAAAGAAGAAACTTTGTTTTTGCTCATTTCTCTTAACAATTTCTGGTTATTGAAACTAAGTATTTTATCTTTGTTACACACATCAATATTTTATGTTATTAGCAATATGTTTTGTACAGTTTGCTATTTGATATAGTTTTATCCTGACAATACCAATATATGAAGACTTTAAATAAAGACACTAGCAAAAAGCGCGATTGTCTCTGGATTTTATTCTTTTTTTAGATCAGTATATGTTTCTACAAGCATGTGTTTTACAGCTCTGCTAAGTTTAATTATGTTTTATTGAAATCATGACCTGGGAAACCTTCAAAGTGTCACAGAAGACGTATCAGGGTTGTAAAGCAGCAAAGCGTTTGCTTCCCATTTAAAGTTGCACAGGAACACATTATATTTAAAAAAAAACATGAAGCGGCATCTCAACAAAGTGCAAAACTCCTGATCTATAAAGGCGTCCATAAATGCAACAGCACTTACTAATAACTTACTACTAACAGTACTAAAAGTAGGTTTACTGTAAACTACAGTAAGAAATATTAAGGCATCGGTTGTGTTTACTTGGCGGGTGTCATTTTTGATGTTGCAGCACACCGAGACTTTGTTTTCATTACATTTCACTAGCTTTCATTTTGTTCCAATATATAAAATAAACTAAAAAAGCAAACTGTTTAGTGCAAACTACAGAATGCCTGAGTATCTGTTAAAGCTCTATTGCTATTGGCCTACTTACACAAAGTAAATGAAAACACCACATCAAAGAGTATCCTTCTCAAAGACAACAAAAAGAGATTTTTTGGGTTCATTAGTGGGTAAAAAAGTGTTGACTGGAGCTCAGTGCTTGCAGCGCAGCAGAGGAGGGGGGAGGTCGAAGGTCAGGGCTAACTGGGAGGTGAGATCTCACAGGGCCAGTTCGGCCATGGCGCGTTCCAGGGGGTCGCTGGTCCAGTACTCGTGGTCCCAGCCCAGGAACCAGCCGGTGAAGGTCGGCGGCTCAAAGCCCTGCTTGATCTTGACGATGGGCGTCCTGCGGTCCCTGTTGGCCGGATCCGTCTCGATGTAACGGGCCGCTGAGCAACGTGAGGAAAAGCCCGAATTAGCGCTTGAATCACAAACACAACCCGGGATAATGTGTATCTGATAAATGGGTGCAATCAAAGTAGTAGTGTGTCAAAATTTGAAGATCGCAGGTGTCCTTACCAGAAGCCATCGCCTCAGTCTTCTCCTCCTCTTGGGCTTCGTTTCCGATCCAGACGAACACCTAAAAATGGGAGAGTTTTATACGTGTAGACAAGAGTCCAGGCAGTACGGTGCTCAAAGCTCTGGTTTCTTTACCTGGTCCCAGGAGTCCAAGATCATGACATCGTCAGTGGCGAGGTCTTCCTGGGTCATCTCCCCGGGTACCTCCTCAATCTGTGAGGAGGAGAAGGACGTAGTGAAGATGTATTGATTTTTTTTACAATGTCTAGTGAAAACTGCCAAATGTGAGTAACTGCGACAGTATTTCTCCCTTTAAACGGCGTGCAGCAGCACTCAGCTCAAGCTAAAGACTTACGATGAAGTTGCCGGTCTTATTGGAGCAAGCGAAGAGGCGGGGTGGGTGAGCGTCCATCTTGTCCTTGAGTCTAGTGGAAGTGCGATATTCGGTCTTTCCTCCGAGAGCCTCCCAGAAATCATCTGTGAACAGGACAGTAACACTTTGCGTTGTTATAGTTTCGGGGGTCATTCAGGGTGGCCGTGACCTTAGTATTGAGCATGCGGGCTCACTGGAGCGTCTGTCACACTAAATAGAATGGGACCGTAACTACGTTTTTCCAAAAACACCCTGCTGTGACATGTGAAAAGGAGCCAAGATGGAGAAAAGGTGAAAAACTAGCTTCAGACTCTTATCTAAAGCTCACAAAGTGCTTGAGTTTTTTGAATATACATACGTTTTTTGAATATACATCAGTCCAATATTCACTGCTACATGCTGGACTATGCTATGCTATGTTTGTGTGCTATTTGGAGGGCTGGTAATGTAAAGAAGAAGAAGATGCTGTAAAGGTGCCAACGCTGTGAGTTTTCATTACCTCATTTGATCTATTGCAAAATATATTATAATATAATGTTTTTAATGTATCCATTTTGATTCCTGATGTTCAAATGTGCCAAAGTTGATACCATTAAAATATACCCGTCTCTTTGTGTTCCTCTATACTTCATGGATTTTGGGTATACAGTACCGGCAACAATATAAAGGAATATAATGTTGAATTTCTGCTCTGGGAGAAGAACACTGTGTTTCAGCCTCGGGTCTGTGTTTGAAATTGTGAGCAGAGAATTCAGTTTCTTCTTGAGCTTTGAGAGCAAACCACGAGATCACTGGTAACATCTAAAGGGGTGATGCAACCGAGTCTGCTTTGTTTTAATATAGATGAACACAAGCACCGACTTCAACTGTGCTGCAAAAAGTAACCTATTTAACTTCACGCTAAACTAATATTTCAAAAGCGTATTCCCAGTTTGCAGCGGACACGGCGGGATATTAACTGCGAGTGGGTTTCAGTCTGTGTTCATTGCGTCTCCTCACCGGTCTCTCCTCCCTCAGGCAGCTCGGAGGCCGACACTCCCAGGATGTCACACAGCTGCTGGGCTCCCTGCTTCTCCGGGTCGCTGGCGCCCTCGCCCACCCACAGGAAGGAGCCGCCCGGCGTCACCAGAATAAAAGCGTCGTTGGAGTTCAGGTTGGACGACGCCGCGTCAACCTGCGGGGGACATTGTTTTTCATTTAGAAAATATTGCACTAGTACAGTAAGACTTCTTAAATAGACCTTCTGTATTAGCAGCAACCAGATGTTACTGTCGTGAAAGATAAATCTACTCACCAAGTAAAATATATAATATAATAAAGATATAATGTCGTGTGTCCTCTTACCTCCACAGCCCTGGTGTGTCCTGTGGAGTTGGAGCGCACCTGGAACAGTCGCGTCTCTGCGGGGGCGGACTGACCTCCTTCTCTGGACGTCCCTCCCTTGTACACCACCATGGGCTGTCCTCCGAACAGGCTCATCAGATGGGCCGGCTCCTTGCCCTGCACCACCCGCACCTGGCACACAAACAGCAAGATCATATGCTTTTTAACAGAACCTCGTGCAATTTGGTCGTGTGTTGTGAAGTACGCATCAACACCGCGGGAAACACGTCTGCTGCAATAGCTGCTGCTGCCCGCGGACATTTAGTTTGGTTCTTTTACTTCAAATCACTTGATAATTGAATCACTTGTTTTGCACAAACCTCCATAAAGCCAAAAAAAGAAAAACGGTCAAATTCCAAAAGTCACGGCATGACTTCACCAATCTTATATTTATGCAACGGTCTTGCGCTTAGATAACTTCAATTGAGATGTAAGACTATTCCTCTTTTAGTTATTGGTGCCCGATCACCAGGGCTGTAGTGGAGGGTAAACGCACGTAAACGCCGTTTACGCACCTCTAAATAGCGTTTACCCACCTCGAAGTGGCGTTTACGTACTTCAAACTTCCCTGCGCCTTTATTTTTCCGTTGGAATAATCCAAAATAAATTTGGTGTCATTTTAAAACACGAAGACTCTCTTAATGGTTAAGGAGCAGGGGAAGTGTTAACTTGCCGGATGGCTTTGTTCATATTACGCGGTTCAGCTGTAACACCTCGGCCTGTTTCCAGACGCCTTCATTTTTTTGAGGCTTACACATACTTTGTTTTCTTGAAATTTAATAAACCGCAAACTACAAACACATTATTGATTGTATATGACTTTAACTGAACTGATGGCGTCGAGGTCTGTGTGATCACAGAATTCATAGTTTACCCACCTCTGGTTTTACCACTTCAGCACTGCCTGTCACCGTAACAACAAGACAATACGACATAAATGAAAGATGCGTTTGACAAACTGTGAGTGCAAAAGTGCCGACACGCCTGACAGATAGCTTCTCTACTTTGACAACAGGGGAACATCTGGAACGCTCTGGATCCACTCATTCTGTATGAGAACATGCTCCACAAGTTTGACACACACCCACGGTCATGCTAGAGCACACACACACACACACGCACACGCACACAGCATGCACGTGAAGGCTATGCGTGCAGACTTAAGGTACACATGAGGAGTGAAGTGTGAATGCAGACCACAGAAATGAATGAAGACTCACATGAGTACAGAGTCACGGCTAAATGGCCCAAAGCTAAACCAGTTGCTCTCACACTGGAATCATTCACAGGTTGGGTCACGATGTTGCAGTGAAATCACACCACAGCAGAATTTGAAAAACAGACTTGTTATTATGTGGATGAGGAGGAGGAGGAGGAGGAGGAGGAGGGAGGGGGGGGCGGGACTAATGTTCACATACGCATCCGAATCCCCTGTTTTTGTTTGACCCAAATGGTCTCGTTCCAATTGGACTCATTGGCTCATTCATGGAGTCTTGAAGGAGCCAGAAAACTAGGGGCCTTTTTAAAAATCAAGTTATTCACATTTACTTGTGAGGAAAAGAAGGAAATAGGAATCGGCTCTGGACATAATCATATGAGTCCTTTTGTGAAGAAGAGGAGCAGAGAAGGGAGGCAGAATACCTGTGTGGTTATAGGAGCACCAACAACCTGGAGACAGAAAAGGACGGAAACCAAGGACAGAAGGACAGCAGGACAGCAGCAGCGCGGGGGACAGAGGAGGAGAGGAGGGGGGGCGTCAGGGAGAGGAGAAACGGTTTGAGGATGTAAAGATCAGAAAGGAGGCGACTGAGCTGAGTAAGCTGGAGGTCGACAGAGACGTCAGTAACGACAGATGAGATGAACATTAAAGGCCTCTAAAGCAACCGAGTGTTTCACCTGCACAGGACCGCCGCCCAGCTCGTCGTCCAGCTGGGAGCCCAGGATCGCAGAGGCCCCGATCTCATCCTGACTGGAGTCCGCCCCCTGCCTGGGAGACATTAGGAAACGCACCACCATCACACCCGAGAGAATATCAAGATGCATGTAGTTACACTTTGCATCTCAAGTCTAAATCTCAGTAGATTCAAAACATAAAACTCCGCCCATAGAATTGTTGCTCTTTTGCGCAGTACCACACAAATGATTTGTACAATTTTTTTAGATAGTTAATACATAAAAGGAGGACATTTCCAATTCTAATTATCTCATATAATTGTAAGACACCCCACTGGAGTCCCACAAGGTTTACTTTTGTACACTAATAGCTCGCCCATTGCCGCTGTATCTGAACCGCTTGTCCCTCGTATTCTCACCACATGTAGATAATGTGTCCCTGGCGTCCTCCGTGACTGTAGTTGTAAAGGATGATGTAGCTGTCTCCCCCGTAGAACTGTCCGTACGAGGACAAATCCACCTCCACCTTGTCGGACGCCTCGATACGCCAGATCTGTCAAGAAAAAACTAGAATCATCAGCTGCCGGCAGCTGAGACCTCCATCTATTTCTGTACTCTCATAAAATCAAACTTGAGAAACTGATAAATCAAAGCTATCAGCTGTGAACGAGCAGGTTTCCAGCTCTGTCCCCTCACCTGCTTCTCTCCGCTTCCGTCGTCCACCATGACCGTGCTGGGCGGCCATGGCGGAGGAGTCGTGCAGGCTGGACGCGTCGAAGGGCACCTTCTCGATCTTGGCGATGCTGTTGGCGATGTAGGCCACGCCCAGACCCACCGTCTGCTCCTTGTCCCGCCAGTTTTTGAAGAACTGTTTGAAGAGCGGCGTCTCGCCCATCTCCGGCAGGATCTGGACTTGTGTGTGTTTGGGGTAACCCATCTTCTTGATGAACTCGTCGGCTGCTTTCATCGCCTCCTTTCGCTCGTCCATGTTGGCGTCCTTGCCTGTAAGAAAAGTCGGCGGAGGTGAGGATTGTTTAATCAAGCGGGAATATATGTAGAAACAAATTATATTCTTCATATTTGATTTTCTCTAAGTTGTATGACACGGAAACTTATACTGTATGTCTTTTAAAAAAAGCAACAATATGCCATTTTCTCACGATTGAAGCAGAGTTCAAATATTGTTTGTTTCATCCGTACATTTCAATCTTTGCGCTAAGCTAAATGTATCATGACTCTAAGCATTGGTCCAAAATAAGCTTGGACTAAAAGTATTTTTACCATTGAAACAGCTCTAATCCCAAAGTACAGTGTGGCAGATGTGGTCTACGAGTTCTAATTCAACCTGGACCAACCTTTCCAGACGAAGATCTTTCCATCGGATCCGTGGTCCAGAATGAAGCAGTCGCCGGACTCCAGGGCGCTCTGAGCGAACGGGTTCTCCGCTGCCACCAGAGCGATGGTCATGCCTCCACTGGCATTGGACACCTGCAGCGGGACAAAAGGAGAGAGAGTCAATTCATGGCACCGTGGGTCAGAGAAGGTTGCTCTGGGCTTTTCAGCTGCTGTAAAATTACTGTCAAAGAGCACAAACCTTCTGCCATTGTTGTATTGCAAAATCATGTTTCATAGTCTGAAAGTGAACTGATCTTCAAACCAAGTGTTGTCACCTGTCTCACCTTGTACAGCTTGGCCATCTTCCTGTTTGAAGCATCGGCTTTGATGTCGTCAGACGCTCCGGCGGGCAGATCTGGCTTTGGTCCCAACACCTGAGGACAGAAGCAGCTCCAGTCTGACCTCAGAACTCCGCTTCAGGCTTCATTTGTTGTCTCAATGCACTGATCTCACCTCCTCCATCTTCTCTCTCTCCCTTCCCTCGTCGCAGACATAAACCTGGGCCCTCCCGTTGCGCTCGTTGTCACGGATCCCCTTGGCGACCTGAGTAGCCTTGAGCTTCTCGAAGCGGTTGCTGTGGGAGCCGCACCACTGGTAAATCTCCTGTGTGGCAGGAAGGAAAGAGCTGAACTGCAGGAACATGTTGTGTTCTACAAAAAGCAAGACCGCTTTTGCCACAATCCTTAAACAAACACAACATGTGGTGAATGTCTACCGGGGACAATAACAGGGACAATCGCGCTATATTGTTACGTATCCCTGATATCGATCTGAGCTGCGTGACTCACAGCACCCAGGTCCAGGATGAAGCAGTCGCCCTGGTTGAAGCTGTCCCAGCTGACCGCCACCTCCGTTGCCCGGACAGAACGGCGACCTTTGACTTGGAGCAGCCGCTGCATGACCACCTCGTTGGTGACCACGTGCTTGAACCCGGACGCCACGCCCCCTTTCTGTGAGATAAGAGTTGCATTTCAGTACAAAGTTCTCGCTTTTAAATAAAGGCGGCTCCAATTTCCAAAAGTGTCGTAGCGGACCGCCTATACTGATTGATAATACTTAACACATTTTCCATATTACTTTACAAGATCCAAGGTTTAAAAAGCACCCCAAAACATAAGAATAACAAATCCCACAAACTACATATTTGATTAGAGTTGTAAGGATCTTTTGCAGCTATAAACGTCTTACCATGTATTTGATTCCTGACTTGAAGTAACCGAGGAAGGTTTTGGACTCGTATCCCTGGACCTCGCGGTACTGGATGGGCTTCCCTCCCAGGAAGTCATCCATTTGGACTGTAAAGATGGCCGCCGAGCCGCGCTCATCCTGGGTGCAGAAATCACCTGCGCCATAGTAACACAGACACGCACTGTTGTCAACCCCCATGGGCATTTTATCTCTGAGGTCATTAAAATGTGTTTGACGAATTCCCTCTCTGAGGACTCAGTGATTCAACAACGTTGTTCTACGCCTGGTCGTGCACTCAGCAGAGCGTGGGAGTCTTAACATCAGATCCAGGTTATTAGTAAATGCTGCTCATGATCGATCAAGTCGACTAAAACCAGGACATGAAATCAATAAAAAAAGACACAACTCAGCATCGACACTTTCCTCTTTGCTTTAAGCAAAATCCTTTAAAAAGAAAACCAATCAGACAAGCTGTCTTCTGCCCATGCTCGGCTACAGGAACGATCTTTAAGTTTGGATACCAGCCTGAAACTGATGTTAATTTACCTCGTCTGTCCAGGTAGAACCATGAATGATAACGTGGTAAGCAAATTGGGGTGTGTGCGGGTGAAATTACCCCACTTCCCAGGTAGAAATTCTCACTGAATAATCTAAAAGGAAGTTTTGTTTCTGTAAAATGCGTGGTTTTCATTGGACAATGTGACTTACATAAAAAGTCAACATAATTGGTGCAGTGATTTTTCTAAACTAGCTCCTGTGTTTACATTTAGAGCTTTTAAATGGTGCTTACAGGTCAATTAACTTAAAAATCTAATCTCATATTATTGGATTATAAATAAGCGTTTGTATACGAGTACTTCCTAGTTTTTTATTCTATAAATCGTTAAAAGGATATTTCTGACTTCAGAAATTCAAGGCTTTTGCCTAAAGCTCTGAATACTTAATCTATTAATGATTTGTTCCAGACAAACTCCCTTGTACGGACACAAAATCATCATTTAGATAGTTGGGAGAAAAAATGTCAGCTATAAAATTCCACCACGTCCTTGTCGGCCTTTCAAGTCGGATCACAAAGCACATCTGTCCCATGAAATAAGGCCTGTCACAATTTCAGACGCTGATCCAAAGCGGGAACATGAGACGCGTCGGCAGCAGTAAGCGCAGCTTTGTCTGCTAATGACGCCGTCGTCTGTGTTCCTACATTAAAGGACAGAAAGCTTTTGCCAACATGTTTTTTAGTTCTCATCCTACCAGAGTCAACGTGTCACGTGCAAATTGTCACACGCAAAGACAAAAAGGATTTCAGAAATGTTTGTCTCTTCTTGCTTTTAAACACTGATTTTTATCATGCTGCCTTGAAGTCAAATCCTTTTTATTGTCACAAGTATCTAATCAGTGTTTTTCACTGTTTAGAGGGTGACATAAGTTAAATCCCTGTTCACCTTAGACTTGGTTAGATTTTACAAAAACAAAATAGTCACAGAAGGAAAAATGCTTCCAATTAGCATACAATAGTGTCCTGTTTTAGACAAAGAACACATATCTAAATACATCTTCCTCTCTCTGCACTCACCCAACCAGAAGTGGAGGTCGAACTGCAGGTTCCCGGAGCGTTGTTTGATGGTGTTGAGGATGAGGTAAGCGTCTCCAGTGTAAAATCCCCCGTACAGGTTTTCGGGGACCGGCACCAGGTCGAAGTTCTCCACCCTCCACACCTGGAGGCCCTGCTTCTGTCCGGCCAGCTCGAACTGTGGGTGTTGCACTGCCATCCTGCCTGCGGGGAAATGAACACACAACTGATGTTTATTGTTTGTTACTGACTGGACCCAAACATACTGTTCCCGTGGCAACACCCTGTGATTTTACCCTCCAGTCGTGGAGTGTGTGTAATAAACCTCTAAAAAGGGAGACCGGGACTTCCTCTTTGTAAGATGGTTGCTGTGGAGAGCCGCTCCCCTTTAGGCTGACTTGTTGCCATGGATACGAAGATAAAGTTTAGGGTTATAGTTAGATATTAATGCTACAGCAGGGTGAGTCACAGGAAGAGGAAGTCCTGGCAGTTATGACTCAGGCGTAGTCATAACCGGCGATTGGAAAAGACAGATGTGAGCAGACGCTTCTTCACTTTTGGTCAAACTGGCAGACATGATTCCAAACAAATACACAAACATTCATGCACACACATACCGCTGCCTCCCAGTAGCATGTGCGGATGTTTGGGACTTTTAAGGAGGAAATTAAGCATCCTGATTACTTATATGGGCTGCGAGCTGTTTGCAGGACTACCGTTCATGAATCAACAATGAGGGGATCCGCTGTTTTAAGGTTTAGAATCTTTTTAAAGGAGTGGTTGTTTGATATGAGTTTGATAGCTTGATATTTGCACAATTGCTATTAGGGACAGCAAAAAAATAAAAGTTTCAGTCAAGATATTTAATGCATACAGCATTTTGAATCTTAGAAAATGATTATTATCAATACAAAATACTTCAAACATGTATTAAGTAGTTAAAATGCTGTTCTGTGGTGAAGCGTTAATGCTTGCAATGTCAGATTAAAGTCCATGTAGTAGCCTACTCGTTTTCATAAAATATGCAACGGTAGATAGATATTTCTTCTGAGATTTTGCAGCAGACTCTGGACCAGCCAGAAAACGGAGCGAGAGCAAACCGTTTCTCTAAAGAGAAGCAGTGTTCCCAAATTAGAGCTTGACCTCTCGGGAAAAAGGGCTTCTGTGAGCTTCCATTGTGCCTTTTTTAATCCTTTATTTCACTCGTTTAATTGAATGAGGACGACCTTCTAAGACATTCCAGCCCTTAATGTTCTAAACTTTGAAACGTTCTCCAAACTGGAGGTCATGCAGTTCAGAATGAAACCAGAACCCAGTTTTCCACAGGAACGCTGCTGTGACCAGCTGCCTTTCTGTCTGCGTGACTAACGTCCACCCTGGAAAACACTCGCCTATTCTTCTAGGCGGCCGTCTGCCCACAAACACGGCAGGAATCTGCTCCCGACCCTGGACGAGGGACGTGGCTCCGCATCATGTGACCATCGCACTCAGTCAAAACAGCAAAGAAAAGGTTTCCAAAACAAATGGGGAGCCTTGAGTCATACTAGATCCGAACTTCCATCGCACTGCAGCTCCTGGGTCCATGTTTGGCCAGACGAAGCAAAACTGAGGCGGATCCACTGGGATCACTTTAACTTGATGGGGGATGTGGAAAGCTGAATTTTCCTAGTGGCTCTGATGGAGGGTTTTGCAGACTGGAGAATCTGAAGCCTCCATGCAGCCAAACAGCGTTAACTCGACGTTAAGCAAGCTCGAAAGATGTGCAATCCCTCACTTCACCAGCCTGAAAACAATATTACAATATAGCAGCCGTTTAAAGTAAGCTGTCACTCACAGGAATAGTGACACAAACAGGTTTCGACTGCCTAGAGAAGTGTCCGTTGCTATGGAAACGTTCCTTTTATTTTCTACAATGCTTTTGCCGTGGATTGCGTATAGCTTTAATCGGATCAGGGACTGTTTGCATGTCTGTTCAGGAAACCAGCCGCTGGTTGGACAAAGTGGAGTGAAAGAGGCAGATGAGACGGTTCACTCCTTTAGGGGACCACAACTTGTGTCTTTAACTGCAACAGCAGAGCACTTCATCCAAGGATGCATCTAAAGTGAGACGACCAACCGCATCCTCCAAACTGGTACTTCCTTAGTACATGAGTAATAAAACGGAAATGAATAAGGATACTATAACTTTCTGTTCCCTAAAACTGGTAATACATTTGTTACTTCTGCTTAAATTGATAGGGATCCATCCAATGACAGCAAAGACTTTTCTCTTTGTTTGAAACCTCCTTAAGGCGACATCGAGCGTATCAACGCCGAAATCTGTCGCCATGACGGAGAAATTGTGCCGGAAAGCTTGAGTAAAGCTTTATTGCTTAAAAAAATTCTGCAACTCTGAACTTGAAAGCAGTTCTCTAAAAGTTTACTCATTGAAGAGGTCTATTTCATGCCGTAGCAGCAGCCAAATACCTTCTACACACGCAGAAAAATATCCCTTCTTATTCTGAAGGCCTTTGTTTCTGTGGCACTAAATAAATACGACTGCCTTTGACTGTGATCTTCTTCTCTGATGCAGAGGTGTCTTCCGTCAGTGAAAGATGCTGTGTCCCACAGAAAGACAGTCCTTCTTAGAAACCAGCTTCCCTTTCACCTCCCACTCAGACAAATCAAAGCCTGTATTTAAACATGTGAAAACAGCTGCGACAAAAGGATCATGACAAGAAAATGGAATCTATCGGAGAAGGTTAGTGGAGGATTTTGCCTTTTTTTAAACTAAATCCTTTTGTGCAAAGTTCTATTGAACGGATGGCAGCATTTGGCAGAAACAACCAGACACTAAGTGTTCAATGTTCGAGGCTGGATCAACGGACTCAACACAAACACGGCTGAAATAGAACTGGTCACATGACCATCGAATGGTGCTTCTTCTTGGGCATGCTGGGAAAAACATGGGGAGTCTGAGGCTGTGCGCCAAAGAACCGTAAATATTCGGTCCACTTGCGCTAAGTCGCAAGTCCCCCCCCCCCCCCAGGCAAACCGCAGTGAGGTTCTGTCCCCCTCCCATATATCCCCCCCTATTCCCCCCATATTCCCCCCTATTCCCCCCTATCCCCCATACACCCCCCCACCTATTCCCCAGCCTTTTGTGTCTGCCTTCAATTGAGGCTTCAACACTCAGAACTTCGGCGTCACATGACATACGTGTGCTGCTACAAACCAATCACACAAGCACGTATGAGTTTCATGTGAGAAATGTAATGTAACTTTACTCTTTGACTATCCAGACCAGTCCTCTGGCACCTCAATCGGAACTGTGGAAATAAGTATACATTAACTGATGCCGTCCGCCCCCCACGCCCAAAAAAAGAGATTCCTCCTTCAGCAGGAGGAATTCCTAATGAGTCATTTTCTCCACGTATGCCACTCTCAGCCTCTGGAGCGCTGACAGGCCGTCCTCTCTCAGGGCCGATAAGAATCTCTTTTCCTGCCGCTCCGCTCTCCCTTCATCTGTTTACACGCCGTCAGGCTAAAACCAGCAAAATGGCTGCTTGTGACTTAGTAAATAACCGACATGATTATTAAAGGAGAGGGGTTGTTAAGGGAACGATCTATCTCGAAGCAGCATGTAAACTCATACATTTTCAATTCAACACATGCTTAATAAAAGAGAGCATGTGTATAACATGTGGTTCCATGTGATATATCCTAATATTGCAAAGTGTTTTCATTGATACCATTCAGGGATACAGAACCCAAAGCTGCCAGAAGCTACTATATTAAAGTCAATGTGAAAACCCACAACTTTTCTCTTCATAAAACAAGGTCTGTAAATACAACTCATGCACTTGGGTCACTAACTTCCTCTCTGTGACGCAGAAGATGTCCAGGCACAGAGAGGTGTATGTATGAATGCCCCCCCCCAACAAGGACCCAACAAGGACCCAACAAGGACCCACTGTGTCCAGAACTCCTGAGAGCCTCCCTGATGGTTCAGATCTGACGTACGTTTAGTCAACGCAAACTACGCGTGTAAGGTTGGGTGAATGTTCTATATTTCAATATGTAGTAGTTAGGACGTGGTAATAAGGTATATGTAACCATCACTGCCACGGTTGTAAGCCAACGTTTGCTGGGTGTGATCCACCCGACCTCCACCCGACCTCCACCCTGACGCTTTTCTGCTCACGCCACCTCCACCTCTGCTACTGAGAGGAAATGGAGGCCTGTGATTGGCCGAAAAAAGTAAACGTTACTTGTGTTTACAATTAAACAGAGGGTTTGGGCGCCCCTGTAATCTCCGTCCCTCTGACAGCTGAGTGTGGATGGGGGGGACAAGCTTTCTGATTGGCCAACACAGACATGTCTTTATCTCTTGCTCTCAAACACACTCAGACTCACTCACGTAACAGCTGCTTTGACTGTAACCACTTAGGGGGAAGCTAAACTAACTTCCTCAGTGGACAGCTGTTTGGTTGACAACGGCAGATGTCCCGAAATAGAGACAGTCATGTTGACAGCTGCCGAGGAAAATTTTAACAGGGATGCTCAAAAAAAACTTGCTTTAGAATGTTTAATTAACTGCAATGCAGCAAAACCTGGGATGTTACGTGCTGCTTTTGGTTTGTTGTCACATCTCTGCAGCCTGAACTCACTCACAAGTGTCCGGGCAGAGCGTTGCTGAGGCCGAGGCCCAGTGCAGATGGAGGCACACGGCATTTTTGAGTCATCGTGTGGTTTTTGGTCTCCATATGTGGCATCCAAATAAGAGTTGTGTTACATTTCAGGTCATTTAGCTGACGCTTTTATCCAAAGCGACTTACATTGCATTAACCCATGGCTTTTTACATTTTTGCCAGCAATTAGGAGTTAGGTGTCTTGCTCAACGACACTTCAACATGGGACATAGGGCAGCTGGGACTCAGACCACCAACCGTGTGGTTCCAAGCGCACTTTCTCTACCCCTGCGCCACGACGACCTCAGATGAGCGCAGGAGCCGAGTAAAGAGTGTTTATTATTACCTTTATTCCAACCCTCGCTGCAGACCGTATATAAAAAGTAACGGTTCATTCGTAGTTGCTCCAATATGAAGCGATCGAACCAAATCACCGTCCCGCAATCCGCGCAGCGGCCCGCACCGTCTCGGCGGACGAACGTACCTGGGCGCGCGGTAGCTGGTGATCGGTGGGTCGGGCGGTCGGGGGTCGGACGGTCGAAGGGTACTGTGGAACCTGGATGATCCGCGGTGGGCCCTTCGAGCTGCAGCGGGAGAAGAGAGGCGTCGAATCGGCGTGCTGACGGAGTGCGGTGCCGCTGGTTGTGTCCCGGGACACTCCCTGTTCGCGACGCTCCTCCCCCCGGCTGCTGCTGCTGCACCGCCCGCAGAGGGGAGCGGCCGACGCACGGGCGCCCACACGCACGGTGAGGCCTGTGATCATCGGCGTAATCTAATCTTCAGACCACGTAAACAACGACCAGTTTACCTGCCGGGTCCGTATTCTGTATACTGAAGCCCGGCCCATGCTTCTGCGTCTGCGTCTGCGTCGTGTGTTGCAGAGCAATTCACCTCCTGAACAATAGGTGGAGTAACGTGTTTTTGTTGAAGACGACCTAGAGAGTCACGTCTATTTATTTATTTGTTTATTTATTTATCATAGACTTTATTGGCCCGTGCATCGCCACTGCTGCTCCTGCAGGTGTCGGTAATGATTCATAGCTGTGTGCTGCTCTGCGTTATGTAATCATATCGGCCACAGCAACCGCGTTTACATTTTGTAATTTACGCTGTGATTTTATCAACTGCTTTGAACATACTTGAAGAACTGGAATTACATCCCCAATAGTGATTAGATACTGCTTATTCATTACATACTGTCATTTACAGAAGTGCGTTCTGTGTAACCTACACAGCTCTGGAGTTTTTAAAACTTTAATTGGCTTCACTCAACCGTCGCAAGGCATCTTTAATAACAGTTTTTTTTTAGGTGTAAATGATAACAAACACCAACAAAGGGAAGAGTTTAACAAATGCCTTCGAAGGCTGAACCCGTTTCTGGTGGTGCAGAGCCGTCTTGTGGAAGAATCACCTTATGGCATTATAGAAAACAGAAGGTGTGACATGCCCACCATAAATGTAGTAACGTCAGTAGTTACACGTGAGTAAATACAGCCGCCTAGTGGAGCGGCCACACGAGGCTCGCTTCACTTCATGGAGAGAACCCGCCGTTGTTGGTCGCAGCTGAATTCCTCCTGGAAGAGCCTTCGGACATTATTCGTCTGTGAGTGCATGTTTTGTGTTGTTGTATAGATTTAGACAATTTCGAAAGTATGTTGAATTTATGTTTATAAATGTCACAGGAATTCTCAGCTGCGAAATAGCAGCTAAACTATGCTAGCTCTCTGTGTCATGTTATCCTGGTGCCACAGAAGGCCAATTTGTGCCGCCAGTTAGAAGGCAAAGATCTGGCCTTTGATCAGATGGTTTGCTAGCACAAAACAATGCTTTCAGACCACCAGATCCAGGTCCAGAATCTTATTGAGCAGAACAACCATTCCGTTCTGAAGCTCAGAGAGACAGAAGAACATCTCACTGTCAAACTCAAGGTCAACAACCAGACCTGGCAGCAGAAATATGAAGAACTGCAGGAAAAGACATTCAAGGAACTGGATCACCAACAACAGTCCATGGACTCTAAAGTAACAGGGTTACTTTCCGCCAACATTTCTCTTCAAGAGGAGCTGCACAAGCAGCAGGCCAACAACCACCAGTTGGAAGCAGAACACAAACTGCTAAAGATCAAGACAGAGGCTCTGGCTGAGACTATCAGGGAGAACGAGGGTTTATCGCTGAAGCTCACCGAGATCCACAAAACAACTTTCTGTTAAAAGTGCTGAACTCACAGTCAACAACCAGACCTGGCAGCAGTTGGAAGCAGAACATAAACTGCTGAAGACCCAGAGGGATTGTCTGGCTGCTTTTAAAAATAGCCAAGAGGATACCCACCACGAGATGGTCACAAGCAGTGGTTTCACTGAGTTCTGCCTGATCCCTAAGCTCCGACAGGAAAATCAGATCCTTATCAACAGGATCCAGGAGGACGACAAAACAGTCCTTGAGAACATCTGCCTCGACTTAAAAAAAAAGAAAAGAGGCATTTTTGGGAGACGGATGCAAGACCGGCAGACGGAGATGGACAAAATGAGGCGCAAGATGCAGGACAAGGAGACAAAGAAATAGGAGACAGAAGAGAAGAAAAAGGAGACCATCCAGGACGTCACCATCAACGTGCCTGAGACTGGACACCTGTAAGAACACCTTCCTTCATCTACCACTCCATCCTACCTCATCCATCTACCCCCGCTCCCCTTCCACCCGCGCTTCACAGCGCTCAAGCTCAGCTGGCTGGTACTACCCGACCAGGCCCTAATCAACCAGACGTTGGTGTCGTTACTGTGAACCAATTGCATCGGGGCGGGCAAACGTTACAAACTGTACACCTCTCTTTGGCTGTCAGTTGTCATTTCAGCACGCACCAGAGGTGACCCACCACCACCCCTGACACCTCCAATCTACAGCAGAACTGGCATAGCAGGAGATTGGAGCAACCGGCTCTATCACCACCACCAGTCTCTGGACTCCCAAAGGGGGTATATGCCTCATCTCGGCATCCCGGCCCCTTGTCTATCCTTCGGCAGGATGGAGTCCAAGCCCCAAACAACTTGGCAATATAAATATTTATGCCTGTTACAATAAATCATTGTTAAAATGTCAACAAGTCTCTCCGGATTGAAATGGTTCTTACAGCCTAATAGCTATATTTCTAGCCCCAAGCCAGTCTGGTTCTACACAGAACCAACACCTTCTAAAGAACCATTTTATCTATTAGATGGTTCTACATGTTTTTCATATGGTTATTTGAGATATTAAAAGGTTCTTAATTCATGTTTGAGTTGTTGAATGGTGGGCAATAAAAAAAAAGACCTCCGTGCCATGATGTTAGCTAGTTAGCTGCCAGTTGATACACACGCTTCATATTTATAATATCATATAACAAATATAGGGCTAAAATAACAAAGTATCATACTTCATAGTTCTAATTTCATATAACATAACATCATTTAACTAATATAGCAAACATGGCATCATACTTTTTAATTTCTAATATCATAGAACAATATCATATACAGTGTTTTCCCTAACCCTTACATCTCCCGGCGCACCCCAACGCACACGCCCCTCTCCGGTACGTCCGCCCCCCATAGCTGTGAACCCGGGGGAAACACTGATGTGACGTAATAAAGTAGAACTAATATAGGACTAATATATATATATATATATATATATAATTATACATTTTGAATAATTTACATTTGCCTGAGCACCTCTCTTTCCCATTTAAAACTGGCTAATATTTATTGTATATGTTAGATAAACAACAGGTCCTTGCTCTCACTACTTTGGTAGTTGGGCCCAAAACAGCCTCTTCCATAATAACTGTTTCTATTCTAAATTCTAAGGGGAAACATAGACCACCAATCATTTTTCTAAATGATTATGTTAAATGGGGAAAAGAGGTGCTCAGGCAAATGTAAATTCTTCAATTCATATGTGTGTATGTGTAATTCCGCATTAAGGTGGGCAGGTGGTCCGTGTAGTTGCGAGTTTTCTGGTTTTTATGGTAAAAGCTTTTGTAGCGATGTCATGAAGGTGAGTGTTTTGTTCTCCGTTGGATGACGAGGTGTTCATGTTGGACGTTTAAAATGATCATTGGACAGTTGGGAGACTGAGTGCTGAATCAAAAAAGCTTTGTATTAATAAAAAAAAAGAATACATGTTGTTTATTTTCTTTGATGCAGAGCAGAGCACCCCACTTACAGCACACCTGCTGGAGATATTGGTTCTGCATGTTCATTATCAGATTTCTTCTCTGTTCAACGCTATTTAACAATAAGAACTAAGCAAACTCTGAATACTTTTTGCATTAATTCCCGAGATGCTAAACACATCCAAGGTGGCATCTTTGTTCCACATTTATGTGCAAAGAAAACTCACTTATTTTGCTTGTGATTATGCATAACACCAACCAACAAAACCAGGATGTAGCGTGTGCATCTCATTTCTGCATAATGAAAACACTTGGCACCAAATGATTACTTAAGTTAAATGGGAGAAGGACCCACAGTTCATAATAGACTGTATAAAACATGTTAATTATCATTTCAAATGAGGCTATAGTATTGTCTAAAGATGGATAGTAAGAACACGCAGCATCTGCGGCAGCATAAAGCAGCAAGGCGCCTTTCAGAAGACAGTAAAAGTCTCTGTGGAGCTTTCTGGATGAATCTTCTGCACTAATGGCTCCACTGAGGGAACTGGTCATACTGGTGGGAGCTGTTGTGGACATTCAGTTCACATCATCAGTTGGAGGAGATGACCGAAGCCGTCAAGCAGACTCTTTTATCAGTGTGTCCCATTTCATTGTCCGTGTATGTGTCTATCCTCTTCAGGAAAAGATTCATTCTAGGAGCATTAAATCAACTGTTTATTATTGTAAGCTGCCATAACGAAGCGGACGATCACGTTACCAAACACACAGCTGATATCAGATAGAATTTGCGGCGTTTGTTAATGTTGTAAAACAGTATAGTTGGACAAGGAAAATAAGAGAACAAAACAAATATCCACAACTTCTAAAGACATCTTTGGGTTTTTAATTTGGTCAAAAATGTATTGTTCTTTTGCCTGTCCTCTGTCTTGTTAATAGGCACTTCTACCACAAGGCACTACGCACAATACTAATAACGCAAGTGATTGTTAAGGTCTAAATGCATTCAAAATAAATAGCATCTAACTTAATTAAGATGTCTTGACAGTGATGCTGGTTGGCCTTTAGTTTTACAGTAACATGTCATTATATTTGGAATCTTTTACCATGTGAGCAACGTCCAATTCAAATATTTGTAAGTGATTTTATAATTTTCCTGAACATTACATTTGTTTAGTTGACACTCCAAAATGAAACTTTTTCTTTCTTTCTGTCTTAACCTGCAACCTATATATTGATATTTACACATTTGGATAAAACCTTGTAAGTGTTCCCTTTAATATGACACCCAGATTATTCAAGTATGGATGCAGAGATATGTTTTGTTATGAGTATGCCAATTTTGAGCAGGGGCCTAAAGAAATGGCTTGGTTTTGATGACGTAATTAAAGTTCTTTTTTTTTTTTTTTAGGCCTGATTCGGATCACAGTAAAGCTGTTACCGTATTTTATGTCACAGCAATTTCAAGTCTTGGTGTCCCTCTGGTGGACAAAAGACAAAAACAGAACAACACAAGGTGATCTGTGTTCATCCTCACTGGCACGTTTTTTGCAAGGGGCTGTGATTTATTCACGCAATGAAAGGCTTCAGTCAAGATAAAAACATCATAACAAGAAAGTCTTTTGTTTTTGGGGGCCTCGCTGTTTCAGACGGCAGCACAAGCTGCATTCAGCCAGGCAGGAAGCGAGCTAAGTCTCAAATCTCAAGAGTAAAGCTCTTGAGATTTGAGACTTGGACATGAGTTGGACAGCTCAACAAAATAGAACATATTTTCCCAGGGAACCAGCCTTGAGGATAGCCTTTACTTTATTTGGCAAATCATGTTAGCCTGTCCCTAACAGCGCATTGACACATGTGTAGGCATTAGAACACCTTGTTACTTTTTCTATTAATTGCCCCTTCCTTATTTGTTGTTGGCCGTGTTAGCAGCATGTCTTTAGGGACGGCACCGTCAGACCGAAATATCACGACAACTCATGGGGGGAAATATACAGTATGTATTGACTTAAAAGCAGTGGTGGCTGGCCCATAGAGGGCAATGGGGTGTAGCCACAGGTTGAGCCAAATGTTTTAAAAAATTACAATTCTAAAAAATTATATTAAAAATACATTTTACAAATAGTCAGTATGTGTCTATTTGTGTTTTTGAAACATGGAATACATCCAGTGTTATTTGTAAGTTAATATATCCGTGCAAAATATATGCTTTTCCTGCATGTCCTCGCCGCTCGTCTCAGCTCGGGCCGTGTCCCAATGCGGCGGGTCTAAGAAGCAGTTAGCCAATCACTAATTAAAGTTAATGAGTGACATATCATTTTATAGTCCTAAAATACATTTAGTTTTGGGCATAGCGCTTCGCCGCCCGACGCGGCTCTCGTCAGGGTCTCGCGACGCGCCGTTTAACAACATAACAAGAGCGAGCACGAGCAGTGTCCTTGGAGGTGGAGGTTTAGCTAGCTACCTACGTGCTAACGCCTTATGTGGGCATGACTGTGTTTGGAAGGGGAGGCTGGTTGACCGCAGCGATAATTCCGTCACGTCGCCGTGTTAAAGTTGACATCGCTACCCTGCTGCGACGCACACAGCACTGCCCTGAGGACACACAACCGGATGAAACAGGGACATTTTATCCAAAATAATTCATTGTGTGCAGTTTTGTGGGGCTTTTGAGTTGGTCTTTCCTCAACACACTGATTGGATGTGTCCCCAACAAACTAGGTTCAAAGGTGCATCTCAATAAATATTTAATTTAATAAATTAGGGCTGTCAATATATATAAAAAATTAACTAATTAATCGCACATTTTGAAATTCATTAATCTCGATTAATGGCGATTAATGAATGTTGTTGTTGTTGTCACAATGTTTTTTTTAATGAATGTTTGTTTTTCTTCTAAAGACTAAATCTAAGTAATCACTTTAGAAAGTGTGTATTTTATACACTGTTGTTTAATTGTTAATGTTATTTTAAACACAAAACTATACACATTTGATCATCTTGGAGGCAGAATTCCACCTGGTGGAACATGTTGAACTAGCGACTCTTCCTGCTGTCCTTGTGCACTTTGCTCTCTATTATTTAATTCTATTAATTCTCTTTTAATTACATTACATTACAGGTCATTTAGCTGACGCTTTTATCCGAAGCGACTTACATTGCATTTTTGACCCATGGCTTTTTACATTTTGGCCCGGGGAGCCATTAGGGGTTAGGTGTCTTTCTCAGGGATTAATGCTATCTATCCACAACGTTTTCAATCCACGATCTTTTAGGGACACAGTGGTGGTCCTTTTTTGTATTAAATCATACTGGAATGTTTACTGAAACTGATTGGCTGGCCCTACCAAAAACAATCCACCAGCCGCCACTGCAGAGGAGCCCACCTAGTGGTAGAGATTATAATACATCTTAGTTTGTGTGTTATTATATAGTAGTTATTACATTAGCATGTTAGATAGAATAATTACAATATGAATCACTCACAAGTTTTTTCTACTGGCAGGTAATGAATGAGTAAAGGATGTAAGATTTGGACCATATAGAACTGAGTTAAACATAATGGTTACGATGTGATGATGATGTAAGATGTGTTATTATTAAAGTGTACTAGCTATTAAATGATAATATTATGAATGCTGTGTTATGTTTACATGATGAAGCTTTAAGCCAAAGGTGTGATCATTTAATGTACTGCAGTATTTAAGTGAATTGGGATCGGTCAGGTCATGAGGAATTTCATTTTTGCCCATCAGATGGAGCCAGGAGAGAGCCATGTGACGCTTTCGAGCAGAAAGGAATTCACGAGGGAGGAGCTGGGCCTAAATGTGCAGCCAATCACATATGACAACACCACAAGGGAAACCCCGGGAGATTGGAAGAGCTGAGCTGGAGAAGAGGCAGGCAGGAGCCTCCCGTGAACCGATATTGATGGTCATTTGAGACTGGACTTTCACAACATATTATACTTTACATACTTCATTTCACTTTGCAGCTGTATTGACTATTACTTCTGTTAGTTATTAAATTCTTTATAATTTTTAAACTGAAGTCAGTTGACTCTTAATGACTTCTTGTCTCAGTAAGGGCGAGGTTAACAGTAGCATTCCTTGATCAGAGGTTCAGAACTCCACACAGGCCACGGTCATAGAACGTCCCGCACAAGACTGCCGCAACGACCACACATTTTAAAAAATGACTAATAATATCAAATAGCTGTGTGTTGAAGGGAGCACATGTCAAGTCTGGAAATAGTGAATATATCTAAAAATAGGGGTTGAAATAGACGAATACTGTATATATGTTGGATACATATTTATACTTCTGATAGCTTGTGACTCATTCACCTGAGTGCAGCTCACAGCAGCTAAGACTAACTGTCATGGAAACATGACATCTTGACAGCATTAAATGAACGGCGCTGTTACAAAACGTTTGGTTTGTAGCACTTTACCTCAGTCTGCATTTATAATTTCTGTATATCCATGCTGCCCGTGTTAATATTGAATACGTTTGTTTAATGTGGAGTCGTAATTACTTTATATTCTTTTCACAAGCTTGCATATTTATAATACATCATAATACATCTAGTGATGTTTAGTGTTTAGTTAATTGTTGTGTGTGTGTGTGTGTGTGTGTGTGTGTGTGTGTGTCTGTGTGTGTGTTATTAAATAGTAGTTATTACATTAGCATGTTAGATAAAATAATTACAATATGAATCACAATTTAGAATAATATATGTAATTTACTTAATGTACACATGAAAACATCCTGCCACAATGTAATGTTAAAACCTGGGGACGGATGCTAATTGCCGTCCTTTATGGATCTCTCCCAATTTTCGCCCGAAAGAGTTTTTTTGGGGACTTTTTTCACCTGTCAGGTAGTGACTGAGCAAAGGATGTAAGACAGCCCTATAGCAAACATTCTGATTTTGGACCATATAGAACTGAGTTAAACACAACGATGAAATGTTATGTTATTATGCATGCTATGTTATTTATGTTATGTTGACACAACAGGAGGGTCAAGCCAAAATCAGTGGTGGCTGGTGGATTTTTTTCGGTAAAGCCAGCCAATCAGTTTCAGTAAACATCAAGTATGATGGAATCACACTGGGATATCAAAGGGTATCAAACATGCATTATTACTTTGCAGTTAAATATTTAACATTTATTGCAACAGTTTAACATAATAAGGACATCTTATTCAAACAATTTAGTATAGGGGGACAAGACTCCTGCAAAAGCAGAGCGTCCCCCTTTTAACCTCTCATACCTCCGACCACATTGTAGAAATGTAAAGTTTCAGGGCTCAGGGATTTCTCTTTTCTTCAGTGGGACAACTTCCTCGGAAGGATCTAAACTGTCCACACAGGAGGTGAAGCTATGACTTACACATCTGGACGGCTCTATTTTTGTGGTGCTGGAACATTTCACAAGCTCTTTAATCCCCCCCCGAGGCCACCAAAGGACTACGTGGACGTGAGAGATCTCTTGTCTAGCAGGGAATTACAGACAGAGCAGAAGTCCATTTTGGATTGTAATGGTCATGCAAGTACACTTTCAGAATGCGCATACCCTTGACTGACATCACAATGAGGGATGTGTCAGATAATTTCATGATCAGATCTTAAGTTTACTAACAAAGTGTGCAGCCACAGCCATGCAATGTGTTTTTTCTTTACTATAAGTAGACACTGATGAAAAGTAACCAACTTGGTTGAGTGTTATTTTCCTGTTTTTTTTCTATTATTTCAGTGAACAATCTGAAACAAGGTACTGTTGATTATTTAAAGCATAGAAGATTCTTCTTTTAAATGAGTTAATAATACATTTCCAGTTATGAAGAAATATTAGGAAGTATAAACACAGTATAAACTACAGTATTATGGTAGAGCAAAGAGTACAACTAATAAATACGTACAATTAGTGAGAGCGTGGGCTTATATTCACTCTGCTTGGATGTCAATTTGAGAAACCTTTCGTACAAAACATTTGCCCACAACTTTGGAGAACGGCCCTAAATTGGAAAAGTTGTAATGTTAGTCACATGTGAATGGATACTTAAAGGTGGCACATTGGTCCTTTCACTATGACCAAATGTTCAACAAGGGCTTAATGAACTACATTGTATTTTGTCTTGAGTTCTTTTCTTCCGTATAATTACTTCCGTAAAATTGTGGCTCCAGCAGCAGCATTAGGCTTCTGCTTTAGCACGACAGTCTGTTACTCCATCTCCTCTGCTTCTTCATCCGCGTGCGCGGGCCTGTGCGTGCGCGTGCCTGAGCATCTGCCGGTATCTGATAAAGTCCCTTTACGTTCACGTGCGGAAAGAGGTGTGGGGAAGAAGCGGCACGTGAGAGAATGTATATGTATTAAATGTATATTTATTCATTGGAGTGCACATGTGTGAGCTATGTACGTACGTTTACGAATTGAAGTTAAGTTAAATAAATATATATTTTCAGTAAGCGCGTGAGAGAGAGAGAGAGAGAGAGAGCGAGAGAGAAGGAGGGAGGGAGAGAGAGCGAGAAGGAGGGAGAGAAGGAGCTGGGGGGGATAGTGACTGACACACAGAGTGAAACAACAGCTAGAGGAGCGGGAAGGAGACGAGCGACAAAATACGTCCCGACATTCAGGGTTTGCGGGGACGAGCGGCGGAGATTAAGCGGAAGGAAAAGTTGTGACCCCACTAATCAGTGCGTGGGAGTGGGAGCAGGATCGTGACTGACTGAGACAAGCGCCACTGTCTGTCTCGTCATGGCAGGTAAATCTATTCCACCAGTACACGGATAAATAGCACGAAGAACCCGGTGTTTTATACAGCGCGATGCCCTCCCAGCAAGCTTCCTGCCCCGGGCGGCCGCAGCGTTTCACCAGCTAGCTCAGCCCGGTGTCGGTTGAGCTAGCGGATGCTAGCTAACACGACTTAGCCGCTAGTGCTAATGTTAGCTCGCCCGGAAACTCGAGTGTCATCGCCCGTCTATCTGGCCTGTGTGTGCCGGCTACGGCAAGCTAGCCAGCTGCTGCTAGCCAGCCGCTGCTAGCTAACGACGGCTGTTTATCGGGACCAACGGCCCGGGACCAGTCTCGCTAGCTGCCGGTGCAAACCCCTTTTTTTAAAGCCAAACGTTGCGAGCCGCTAAACCCCGATCGCTAACTTTGCTTTCTGCCGCAGCGGCTGCTTGTTTGAAGTGTGCGGTGGCTTTTAAAAACCACTGCGTGGAAATCGGATGTGATGGTGAATTAACTAGCTGGGCGGCTTTGGCTCCAGTACACACCTTTCTGAGACATGAGCGGGTTGACAAGCCGGGCTAGCTAACGCTAGCTCAAACTTTGACATTGCCCACATGCAGGCGAGTTCTCCGGGCCTCCCGCACACTGATGATCCATGCAATGTCTCTCTACACGGTCTCTGACCATCGGGACTGAAGAGACTAACTACACATAACTAAGCATGTTATGGGATGGTTCTCCCCTCCCCACATACGATTCAGATAGTTGATATTTCTCGGTTTCTGCAGATTGTTCGCTCTTCATTCAATTGCCAAATGAGTGGCGCCTCCTGACACATCTAGTGCTTAAGTTGGGTCCATTTGGGCGTGGAGATGGCTTTGTTCTTCCGTTTGTGGAAGTCTGAGAAGATTTGAGCGTCTGCATTTGCTGCTTCAAAGAAATGAAAGGCATCTAATGAGTGCTACATTTTGTATTGACCACCAACCCTGTCCTGCCTGTTTTGCTTTCAATCATGATTCACATCTGAATACTGTGTGACGGTGACTCATAAGTGTCCTTGGTTATCCTGCAGAGCGGATCCACTACGTGTTATCGACCAATCGGACCAGTTTACATTGTGTAATAACAAATTATCATTATGAAAATATGCATTTATCTTTATTTTATCTTACGTTGTGCAATCCGCTGTGGGGAGGGAAAACCTGTTGAGGTGAACGATGGAGGTCATCAAACAAGCAGCGTGTTTTTATTCTTATGGATGTATTTTCGTCTTACGAGTCCGGCGTGTAACCGGTTCAACTCCACCGTTTTATTTCTATGATCTGAAGAGAAGTATGTGATTTGCAATCAACCTTTCTCTCTAAGCAACAAAACACCCGCACTTGGGCTCAAATTGAAATTCTCAGGTTGTAGATGCATTCAATCTTAATAGATATTTCTTGATAATATAAGTTTTCTGTTGCCTCTTAACGTGGCCATAATACAGTTGGCCCTTCAGGTATCCTGTTTGGAACACTTCAGGAATATCTATATCTTGAGTTTAGTTTTAAAGATTGAAATCTAGAATTTTTCTTGTCATTTTGAGGTTACACCTTTTATAATGTAATAGAATGTGTGCACATGTATGACCGTGCATATTTCGAAATCTCTTGGCACAACAGCATTTCAAAACCCAAATCCCACACTGAAACAAAAACATTCTAGATGTCACACTCGACCGTATTTGAAATAATGTATTTTGTTTTCTCTCTGCAGGATCTGGAGGTGACATGCAGTGGTGCTTCTCTCAGGTGAAAGGAGCAATCGATGATGACGTAGCAGAAGGTATGAGCTCCTCAGAGAACATCGTATTTGTAAAGCACAGAAAGGCACAGTGAGAAACATCATTTTTACCATTCCAACTGGCAAGTTGTAGCTCAATTTACCCGCGAGTCAACGCGTTAGGACAGCAATGTGACCCAACCCTTACTGTCAGTGGCTTGTTCAGTCATCAGGTAAACAACTGGGGGGAATGGGGCATTTTTTAAAACGCTCACTGTATTTAACTCCCCGCCCACGTTCATTTTTTGCCAGTAGTCACTCAGCACTCCTTGTTTTTATTGGCGCTGTGTGTTAAGCTTCGTCTTGATGCGAACCGATCGCCTCTTCCTGCTTCACATTAACAACTTTACCACCAGCAGGTCCTTATCTGGGCAGGAAGTGCCTTCTTGTTTACCGCTGCGCTTAGTGACTGACCGCTAAGTCTTTGTGTCCAAATACATCTGGAGACAAATTGCAAAAGATGGGCTGTTTTCGTTTTGCAGGGTATACGTCGGCATTTCAGAAACGAACGGTGAAAGTAAGAGCAGCCCGAGTGAGCTGGGTGGATGCAGGGCGTCCAGTGACGGGGGCCACTTTGGCTTTGCCCGCAGGATGGACTCTGGTTTCAGTTGCTCTCGGTGCGGTGCAGGCTTCCAGACAGGAGGGGAGTACTGCAGCGCAGCCCTCAGCAGGCCAGATGGCTGCTGATGGACAGCGGTTCACAGCTTCTGAGTAATGTATCCATGGGTGGGGGGGGGGGGCGTTAACAAACCCAGCATTTCATGGTCCTAAAAAACCGGATTTCTGGAAAGTTGACGCTGCATCACCAAGGCCCCGCTTCTTCCTTAACTCAAGGCAAACGGGAACGGTATTATGAAACTCAATGCTTCCATGTGTTTTACCTCCGGCCAGTGATGTGTGCATGTGTGTCCTGATGTTGCCAAGTGGATATCATTTATTTTGCTCTCTGATTCAAATGGGGTTGATAAAGTGATAGAAACGCGTATGCACCTTTTTGAGGGAAAATATATGTAAGAATACACATTGTATTTTATTGTCTAATTTAGCCAGCAGTGCAAATGGCCAGGTAATAGTCAGTTATTGTTGAGTGTAGTCTGTTGTAGCAAAACACACAAATGTTGTAAACGGTGACAACACGTTCAAGGCAGTAATGTTGTTCAGCTCCTAAAGCTCTGCAGCAGTCTGTCTTGTTTCAACCATTCAACTCAATTCAATCTATTTAGTACAGCCCAAAATCGCAAATTACAAATTTGCCTCAGAGGGCTTTACAGTCTGTACACATATGACACTAGCGTATTGAAAAGGAACGGACACAATTGGCGCTATCGCTACGAGTGCTGGTACCAATAAGAACCTCTGATAGAGGAATGGTACTTTATCCCTGGCCTACATTTCACTGTTGTGGATTCATGTGGCGGCCACATACAAATCGGGACCTTTTTCCCATTAATATGTAACACGGTTCGTATTTTGTTTTTACACTTTTGATGGATATTCCTCTTTCAAATATGCTGATTATTATTAATATAGTCTATATAATAATAATAGTAGTAGTAGTAATAATAAGTCAGTTGCTTCTGCAGTTCCAGAGCAGCTTTAAGTAGCAATAGCAGCAGTTCAGCAGTTCAAATACTGCACATCACCCTGTACTTTTGGCCTCGGGCTACAAGATCTCCTCCAACCTTCTGCAGCATCGTCCTTCTGCTCCAGCAGGTAACAAAGGGTTAAGCCAGCGTGTAAGCGTGTGTGAGCAAGTATCCACATATAACGCAACATACTACTGCTGGGGGGGGAAAGTAGGTTACTGATCATGTTCCGTCTGCTCTACATGCTCTGGCATCTCTGGCCCACTCGCCCGTTCATCTAGTCTACTCTGATCGCAGCACAGATAAACCCTGGGTTAGTTGGAATTATCTGATTGGCTCCTCATTGTTTCGTCTTGTACCCCCCCCCCCCCTCCCCCCTCCCTGCACCCCTCTCCCACACCAATCAGCTAAAACTAGATGTTTGCTTTGTGTTTTTAATACAGCGGACATCATTTCCACGGTGGAGTTTAACCACACAGGGGAGCTGCTAGCGACGGGAGACAAGGGGGGCCGTGTCGTCATTTTCCAGCAGGAAATAGAGGTACAGCTGCAAGTTTGTCTTCTGTTTTATTGCCTGTCTAACAGCTCAAAACTTTTAAGGAAAATTATTTTTGTAGAAACTATTCTGTAAGCAAAACCCCATCTGGACTCCTTTGTTTTATAGAGATCTTTGTCACCATGTCCACCCTTTTAATGAGTGTATGCCTGAATCTAGAACCCAAACGGTCATTACTCTGTTTCTCTTCCTTGTCTAACGTCGGCTCCTTGCGTCCTTTTGTCTGATATTTTGCCCGTCTCCCTGGCAGAATAAGAATCAACCTCAGTTCCGGAGCGAATACAATGTTTACAGCACTTTCCAGAGCCATGAGCCAGAGTTTGACTACTTGAAGAGTTTGGAAATAGAAGAGAAGATCAACAAGATCCGTTGGCTTCCTCAAAAGAACGCTGCTCAGTTCCTGTTGTCAACTAACGGTACGTTGGTCCTTCCTGGTTGAGCACTCGGGCCCTGATATTTAACGGCAATCTGTCGGGACATCATATTCATATAGGTGCCATTAAAACTATGATAAACATTTAAAAAGCCCCCTTCAGTGGAATGTGAGTCAGATCTGGAATTAGAAAGTCAGAAAACAAGGTTTCTCTGTGAGACCGCAGAATTCCCAGGAAGCTTCCTGGTGGTTTGAATGTCGATGAGTGATGATTCCTTCAGTCCGCCTCCAACACGGTATCCAGGCTGTCCTCACTTCCATCATATTATTTTGTGTCTTTATAAAATACATCTACAGACCAGCTACTTGCGGACCATGAATCAGTGCTTTTTTCTTCCTAAAACAAAGGCAAAAGGCACTAATATACCAACAAGTGTTAATCATCACTGGGGATGTCCTCAGAAATCTGTTATTGACCATTATTCTTGTCCTCGACAGATAAGACAATCAAGTTGTGGAAAATCAGCGAACGGGACAAGAGACCGGAGGGTTATAATCTCAAGGAGGAGGACGGACGCTACAAAGACCCCAACGCCATCTCGGGACTGCGGGTCAGTCAGACGCACCGCCGCACCACAGCTTCCAAACTACAACTGAGCATAATCTCGACCCGTTCATTTGACGCTCGGTGCATGGAGAGAGCACGTTTATTGCATCAACACACACTATGACCACGGCAGGCGAGCCGAGCAAACCGGTTTAGCAGCTGGAGTCACTGCGGCTGATGGCACCGGCTCTTTGTAGAGTCCGCTGGCAGTTTGGGTGAGACCGCTGGCAGTTTGCTCAGATCACCAAATTATGGATTAGGAGCCGCACGTTTTCCTGCCCCAACAGGAACAGGCGTGACAAAACAAACAGGACAAGCAAAGTGTGGGCCAAGCTTTGTCTCAGGTCCACATTCCTGAGAGCAGCTGAAAGGTTCTCAATGACCCCGCCGATGGAAACCACGTGGCTTATAAACGGAAGGGTGACTCTTTAGGAAAACTAAAGACCAAAGAGCTGGTCGGTGATTTCAAAAGTAAGGAGGAGGAGGAGGAGGTCTGCCCAGTGACTTACTGGTCAGCAGATAGATGATGTCCAACCATATAGATGTCTTGGTCTACCTGGACCGCGAACTAAACCCTCATGCCATATTTAAAAAGCCTCAGTCCAGATTCTTCTTCTTGAGGTCCTTTGACATTAGCAGAAACCAGGGGATCTTCTCTAATGTCCTCTTCCACGCCGTCCTCTGCTGTAGCAGCTGCATAACCGTGGATTTCAAAAATAGGATCAAAATATGATAAGAAAAGCTGGCTCAGTGATTGGTCTTACACCAGACTCACTCGAGGTCTAAAAACGAGAAACGTGACCTGGCCTGAATCAATAATTTAATAAAAAGAAGCACAAAACGATGATTGACGTCATTAAAGAACGTTTTCTTTTTTTCCTTCAAATTTTACAATATATTACTGTTTAAAGTATACTATCATTATAAATAAATGCAAAATACTTCAAACTTCAAATTCAAGCTATGAAGAATATATTAACTGTTAACTACCGTATACTTGGTGTTTCCCCTCTGAAAGAGCTGGAAGTGTGTATATTAGTTCATAGGAATTTAATTTTAGATTCATGCTCATTGCGCACGTTGCCGTGTTTGTCTCAATGTGTTGACGTCATGATCGCAGCAGGTGAAACACGGAGCTCCATGAGGCACGAGAGCACATCGTTTATCTATTGTGTGACATCATTTATTTGTATATTCGGTGAAGGCGTTGCTGCGTAAAATAAAGCCAAAACGACTCAAACTATCTCTTCCGGCTTAATGAGAAACGACACGGAAGGAACACCGCTACTCCCTCGGTTTACATCTTTGGGGCGGGGAGTTTTGGTCGAGTAGGTAACGGTTTTCGGTACCCAATCCTATTTATCTGTTTATTAGAGTAAAAATGACAGCGTGTGTTGGTCCCAGTCATCCTTATTTCATCTAGTTAATTGGGCCCTGCGTGACACACAAATGAAAGTCTGCGGAGAGATTTGGAACGGACTCTAAACTTGTGCTACACGGAGCCGGTAGAGCTGCACGATGTGTTTCTGACCCCGTTTCCGATCGCGTGCTGGTTGTTCTGCTCGCAGGTACCGGTCTTAATACCCATGGACCTCATGGTGGAAGCCAGTCCACGGCGGGTGTTCGCCAACGCTCACACGTACCATATCAACTCCATCTCGGTCAACAGCGACGATGAGACCTACCTGTCTGCAGACGACCTGCGCATCAACCTGTGGAACCTGGAGATCACCGACCGCAGCTTCAGTATCCTTTGGTCCTTTGGTCGATGTGTTTTTTTTTTAGTCCTGCACACATCATGACCCCCTGCGAGGCCCCGGGTTAACCACGCAACAGGTTTGTTCCCTAACCCTCACTTTTAAGACATCGTTGACATCAAACCGGCCAACATGGAGGAGCTGACGGAGGTGATCACAGCAGCGGAGTTCCATCCTCTCCAGTGCAACACCTTCGTCTACAGCAGCAGCAAAGGAACCATCCGTCTGTGCGACATGAGGGCGTCGGCGCTGTGCGACAGGCACTCCAAGTGTGAGTGCCCTTCTTTGGTCCCCTAGTTGACCTCCGTCCCTCGACGGGTGGCCGAAGCACTGGATTCATGGAGCCAAGCCCCCCGATCAGCATTAAACTAGCCTCAATCTTCTCCATTTAACAAACAATGGAGTGTGCCTGCAGCTGGCAGCCACCATGTCACGACTTTAGTGCTTAAAACCAGTAAAGTTACTGTTTGGAGGTAAATATGTATGTGGAGGACATTGGTTCCCCCAAGCTGGCTGACAGGATGCACATTCCAGTGGAAAGGGCCGCTAGTAGCAGGGACACTGGTTGTTCCCTCATACGGTACTTTGGTCTGGTACTGTATTTATTATAACGCTATTATCAGTATGTCACTGCATTTAAAAGAGCGAACACATTAACTACTTTTAATGTAAAGACTGGAAACTAACCAGCAGGATGTGCCCCTCATCATCAGGCCCACGTGCCCACTACCATGTAGGTAGTGTACTCATCAACTATAAGCTACTTTTTTGGAAAAATGCATATCAAACTGACTAACTATGTATTGATCACAGAGCATCACAGACATTTGGACAATTCATTAATCATTAATAACAGAAACGGTGCCTTGGGTAGAGGCAGCAGTCGTTTTCAAGATTTTGAACATTAGATTTGCATAATTGCAACTTTATCGGCCGAAATTGAAAATAAATAGTTCTTTTGTGTCCGATGACCTGAAAGTAACGTTTGTTCCCTTTTTCGAATGAGCCCTTGGTAGCTTCATGAGGAGCAGGTTTTGTGTTCGTGTGTTTGCGTGTTTTGAGGTTGATGTCTTCAGAAATCCTGCACTGCCTGTAGGACGCTGCCCAGCTGAATCCCTCGTGTGATTCATCCTCCGGATCCAGTTTAGAGTTGTTTGTTTTTAGCCCTTCAAATGTGGTTTTAGAATAGCCAGGGGCCGGCTCTCCTGCAGCGTGGGGACCAGGTCTTTGTGGCATTCAGACTGAATCTCATCTTCATGTCGGTGTCCCGCTCATTCCCCTTGTCCAGTGTTCGAGGAGCCGGAAGATCCCAGCAATCGTTCCTTCTTCTCGGAGATCATATCCTCCATCTCGGATGTAAAGTTCAGCCACAACGGACGCTACATGATGACCAGAGACTACTTGTCTGTGAAGATTTGGGATCTGAACATGGAGAACAGGCCGGTGGAGACGTACCAGGTGAGACTGGCGAGCAGAAGCTCAGTAACCGTGTCGGTGTCGGTTTGTTAACACTGCTTTAGTCTTTAGTTGGTGATGCTGAAGTAACGGCAGCATTAGAAACTGCTTTTAGTGCTGCCGTCACCGCGCCGCTTAGAGATGTGAATTCAACCTAAACAATATGTAATTTAAGAGATTTCACTTAATATATTGAATGGAATATTTCTGGACTTTTTGGCTTTTGCCTTGTGTCTGAATGAACCTTTTTCACAGTCAGATATTTGCTCAAAAGCTTTTTACAGAAATTACACCATGGCACGATTATATAAAATCAAGATTTCTTTTTCCTTTTAAAAATGATTTCTACCTTTTCATTTGTATTTTAAATGTTGAATGTTTCTAAATTCTATATAAAAGAGAGCTGGTCTTTTTACCTGTAACTCCACATAGTGACCACTTAGGGGCACCATGCATTTTTTTTTAGCTGTGCGCTGGCCTTTGTATGAACTGCAGTTTGTCCCATTGTGATGGAAACATCATGCAATAAGCACATGGAGGTCTGACGTGCACGGCGTGCTGCTCTGTCTCCTGGTAGCGCCTTCACACGTGTCTCTGATCCTTCAGGTCCACGAATACCTGAGGAGCAAACTGTGCTCGCTGTACGAGAACGACTGCATCTTTGACAAGTTTGAATGCTGCTGGAATGGCAACGACAGGTGAGGACATGCCGGGGGGGGGGACTCAAAAAACTTGTTTAACACTTCATATGTAAACTGTCGTTTACATATGAAGTGTTGAGTGGAAGGAAGCTCAGTAAGCTGATCAACGGCCTTGCTAGATATCGTGGCAGCAAGCTTTCATAGCTGCCAAGGAAAATAAACAATGTAAGCTAACTATTGATTAGCATGTTACAACGCAGTTCGCTACCGATCAGCTGTTCAGGTCTCAGGGAAAGTTCTTTTTAATTGACAGGTTCACAAGGTGTGTCATAGGCTGAAGTAGTAGGGTTGTGTATTTGCATGTTCCTTATTCCTTACATACCTCCCCCCCCCCCCTGCTCATCAGCGTGGTGATGACCGGCTCGTACAACAACTTCTTCCGGATGTTCGACCGCGGCCAGCGGCGGGACATGACCTTGGAGGCTTCCAGAGAAAACAGCAAGCCGATGCAGGTCCTCAAAACCCGCAAAGTGTGCGCCGGCGGCAAGCGCAAGAAGGATGAAATCAGCGTGGACAGTTTGGACTTCAACAAGAAGATTCTGCACACCGCCTGGCATCCGCAGGACAACATCATCGCCGTGGCGACGACCCACAACCTCTACATATTCCAGGATAAAGTGAACTAACGACGCGGTGGACTTAGCGTGAGATCTGGCGCGGGTAACGTCATCTGTCCCCCCCGCCCCCCAACAACAATACCCCCCCGCACCCTCCCGCCACCCCCCCCCCCTCCCCCCCCCCCCGCAGCCTCATCCAGGGTGACCCGCGGTAACGCCAACAACCAGCCTCCCTGTCCGCCGCTACTGGGTGACCAGACTTTGCCACTTTGTTCTAGATGTGGACAGAGGAAGCCTCGCTCTTGCCCCACATCAGCCTGTTCGTGGCAGAGTATCACCTGCCTTGTTGTTTCAGTGATGTTGTGCCAATTCCTCCCCTGTCCCCCTTTTTTGGTATGGCTTCCTTTTCTTTGTGTTTTTTTTTGCTAGCCCACCTGCCCCTTTTCTTCCTGTGGGGCATCATGGGTAAACGGGTTTGATTTCCTTAGAATTCTGAATACAGACACCTTTTATTTTTATAACTTCCCCCCATGGTCCTGTGGTAGAAGATGAAAAACACTTAATTAGTAAGTTACCGTATTGTCCTGTGCCATTGTAATGTTTATTTTTCTAAGAAGAAAAAAAATGCCACTTTTTTTTTTTTTTTGAACACCTTTTTATTCATTCATCTCAGTTGTAACTGTCCCAGTATTCTTTGGGTCTCTTCACATGTCTCCCCTCATTCATTAAACCATGCGTACTCAACCGTCACAACAACCACTTGCTCGCAGTTTCCCTGACTCTCACAAACGGGACGGCAACACCTCAGCGGTTTGCCGGCGGTAGTTTGAGATGTACAGTCAACGCCCGGCCCGTTGAGCAGTCGTCCCGTCCACTGCTGCTGTGCCTCAGCCCCCGGGTTGGTCAAAAAGGTCCAGACTTCACATTAGACTTTTTTTCAATTGGCTGTCTCGGCGTCTTTGCTCATCGGTTCCTCCTCCTCCTCTAGCTCGCATTCGACAATAGTCAGGTATGAGAGATGGCCTATTTAAATCTAATTACTATGATTGAACTCTTTTTTTTTTCTTTAATATAAATATGACAAAGGCCACCAGATTTGTTCCGTCCCATTTTGTGAAATTAAACTGGACCTTTAACGTGTTTTTGAGAGATCTTGAGTGTTGTCTTCCCGTGGTGGACCACAGCTCCGAAGCAGAACTTTGCAACTTTGATTTGACACTGGACTCTTGCTGCACCAACTTAAGTACTTGGATTTGTTGTAGGTTTAAAAGAAAAACGTTTGAGGCACTTAAAAGTGTTTGTTTAAACCACTACAGACATTACTGCTACTGTGTTTACTGGTGCAATAAGCCGCACGAGGATTTGCAGCAGTTGTCTCCACATGTATTTAAAAATGTGGACAGGTCAGAACTATGTTGATGCCTCTGGTAGTGTATAACTACAGTTTTAAACTATGACAGTGAAGATAATAAAGGAACTACTTTTTGCACCCTTGTGATTGCCTGATTGCTGCTGTCTGTCCTGTAGCTCTACCCGATGCGTCCTCCATACTAATAGTGATCTATAATTATCTCGCTTTTAACACCCTACATCCGTGTTAACATCATAATCGCACGCGGGTGGCAGATTTCACAGATTACAGCGGTGTCAGCTGGAGAACCGATGAGTGTTTTTAAAGCTCGAGTGCGGTGATTCTGAATTAGTGTTCCTGCCGTGTTTCATTCGACTAAGAGCAGCGAGCAGCTGGATTAGTGTTGTCACAGCCTGGGATCTGATCCCTGATCGGATTGGTGGCACCAGGGCGAGGCGGCTCGGGCGCGCCTCCTCCCCTGTGGCGTGTCCGCTGGCACGCATGGGCCCGGTACGTGGTACGTGTGGGTTTTTTTTCGTGCCCCTTTACGTAACCCCTCTCCTTTTGTTACCGCCGGCACAGTGTGACGTCATCGCCCAGCTCGGGGGAGGTCTGAGCGGCTTCTCGGTGCGGCCGCTGCTTCCAGACCAGTTAACCTCCGACCGGGCGCGGTAGCATCGCGAGCATCTCTCCGAAGAACTCCACACCCCCCCCACCCCCCCCAAAAAAAACAAAAACAAACGGGGAGTGGGCCGCTCGGGTCAGGTGGACTACCGCGCGTCTGAATGAGTGCAGATACGGTGGTTCCGCACTGACTCGAGCCGTGTTTCATGCGACCCGCCCTGCTCACGAGCCGCTGCCATGTCCGCCGCTGCTGACGCGGCTAACGTTTCTCCTGCGGACCGCGCCGGAGACTCCGGGCTTAACGGTGAGCTAAATGTCCCCGAAGACCGGGACAGGCTGTCGGTGGGTCAGCTACGGGTCGGCTATATATGCTTTGTACGTTTGTGTAGTGTTTTAGTCATTAAATATAGTTTATTCTGGCTGTTTTGTTGGTTTTTTTTCACCCGCGAAGCCACAGTGACCGGAGGGCGGGAGGGAGGGAGGAGGGGAAGGGGACGCTATGTTCCGTGTTTATTGACAGTTGTGGCGCCAATGGCGTTCCGGCAAGCTTGACTGACAGTGAAATAAGCCAATGAGCAACTCACGCGATGAGATAAAGGCGGGTCTAAGCTCCGTAAACAAGCTAAGGAAGAAACAAAAAAGAGTGAAGATAAATGTGGTCCATGTACACATTTAATATCGAAAGAAATAGCAGAAACGGGAGAAGATATCGCACGGTTTTTGTACCCAGCTGAGTCTTTTAGTTTTTAATTTTTTTAATTCGTAAATTATATCTAAATACCATCAACTAACTTACCGTTGAATCGCCATCTGGTTGATGCACATTTTCCACAGTGCATCATTTCACGTGTGTGTTTAAATGCTTCACATGGACCCGCAGTTGATGAAATGGAGCATGTCACATGCAATACGTCGGCTGCATAAGTCAGTAGAGAAAACAAAGGCCTGTTTATCTCACCGAGGGGCTCCGTAGCCTGGCATGCTACTTATGGCCTGTGAGCACGAGGAAAGAGGGCACCGATTATGATGGATTTGGATGGTTTTCATAGAATATTTTTTTATAATAGGGTCGGATAGCCAGTGATTACTAGTTGGGACGAAAGCAAGTGGATGGAAATAGTATTCTACCGTGGCCCCCAACTGTGATTGTACTAAACATCATGTCAGCTTACACGAGGGGAAAAGCAACAAGTGCTGTATTACATCGATTTCCCTTCCTGCTTTCCCATAATCCCTTGCTGACCGAGCCTGAAATAGACCAAAGTTATGAACTAGTTATATGATTGTGGATTTCATTGACTCATTGGCACAAGGACATGCTGGGCAGTACATGCTGAGACTTGAGGGACAATGAGACCTTGCACAGATCTGATGCAAGAGACTTGCGATGTGCTCTGTTATCTGAGACCGCGTTATTTCTGGAGTCCTGTATGTCTAATACCCGGAATCTCCCACATCCTGATCCTCGGAATCAGTAGTTCATAGAGGTCCCACCTGTAAAGCAGGTTTGACGAAATTGCACTTTCCAGTTTCTTGTTCTCCTGGGTTTGTATCCTTATGGTTGAAATGCAATTATTGTAAGTTGCTTTGGATAAAAGCGTCAGCTAAATGACATGTAATGTAAACCCACCCAGCAGCTGATGACCCAGAATGTTCCGAGGCGGTTTGGTTTTACAAACAATGGCTCTGTCGCCAGCAGCTGGCCCGAGGTCCACTGGGCAAGCTGCAGGATGAGTGCGGGTGCAGAGCCGGTTTTACGGGAGGGTGGACAGTAGAAGAAAGGGATTTTTGATGAGGGATCCGACTCCCATGTGTGAAATTCTTGCCCTTGCTGCCCCTCCTCGGTGGTTGCAACTTGCATATCTGACAAGCCGCGGCTCTTCAGCTGCCGGGTCCGTGCCCGACGCCACGTAGACCCCAGGAGCGGGCGTCGTGTGTCACAGTGAAGGTCCACAAATCACCGCGGCTCATGCGGCGCTCTGACCGCACCGCATTACAGAGAGCTTCACTCGTGGACTCGACGGACTTCCACACTCGGGCTGTCGTCCTTTTCCTCGGACCAGAAATGTATTTACACATCTTTCCTTTTGTTAACCTTGTTTACACCTCGTAAGCCCCTTCGAGACTTTAACCTTCGCTCCCCACGCTGACAGTTTTCAGATATATGGAATTACAATGATACACTGTAGTGAAGCTTTTTTGTTCTTTGTAATAAATAGATCTCCCGTCTTTTTTTCCACAATATACATTGTAAAACAAATGCAGGACATATTGCAATTAATAATTGCATGGATATATTTCCTTCATGTGTGTTGGTTTAGAGCCCAGTTGTTCATGTTTGCTCACTGGGACACTTACCTGCAGCCATATTTCATTCGATTAGTTTCACCTTTTGCAGCTGAGACAAGTCAAAATGTCTCCTGTGTAAAAAGCTTCTAGGGGCCCCGGCTTACTGCTGCGTATATAATCAAAGTGGCGTCTTGGGAAAGACAAATATCAGTGACGATACCAAACATAGGATTAGGTGAGCAGTGCATGAGAGGGGCTTGTTCTCATGGTTCTGGACATGTGACCAAAAAGGCTGCTTATACGCACCAAGATGGAAAAAGAGATCAGTTAAATGACGCATTCCATTTGTATGTCAATGGTTTTCGGGGCCAAAGCAAGCAAAGCCGCTTCTACTTGGGACATATCGGATCTTCTACTGAGCTGGATATTGGCTTTTTGTTTTTTTTATTGACATGACGCACACTGGTCGCGTCTTATCGGCCGGGCCTCACACTTGTTTAAAGTAAACAAGCCTTTTGTAAAGCAATGCTAAAAACAGTGTGGAAAAATATTTCTAGTCTACTCTTTTTTTTAAAAACCATCACCATCTCCCCCTTTCACCGCTCAGGGTCCTGGGTGGAGTTGGAGATGAACAGAGGCACAGCCGGATCGGCCCAGTCGCCCTCCGCGGCCCCGGGCCTGCTGCCCCTCCCTCAGGTGGAGGAAGAGGAGGCCATGGTGGGGGGGCTGGAGCACGTCCCGTCCTCGTCCTCGATACACAATGGGGACATGGAGAAGATTTTGCTGGACGCGCAGCACGAGTCCAGCCGCAGCAACTCCTCCTGCGACAGGTAGACTTAGTGAGCAATTTAAATGTCATTTTTACAATGGAAAGAAGTGAAAAAAAACTGTTTGGAAAGTGTATTTAAGTGAAATAAACCATAAAATTAAAATATATACTCTGAAACTAACAAAATAAAGGTGCTTGTACTTCTGTTCTTACTTCTCTTCTTCAGGAATTTCGCCCTCTAGGTAAAAGTTCAGTGAAAGTCCCGAGTTCTTGTGTTCATGCCAGTCTGTGTTTGTGGTTGTGGAGGATTTAGTCGGCGTGCTCTTCTTCCTGTTGACACATAGCGTAGAGCTTTCTGCTTTAGGAGCTACATTTCATTTCATAATCAAAAGAAAATCAATTTGGAGATGAGGATTGATTTGATATTAAGCTCTTTTTTCACAAAATGAATGATCATTTTCCTGTTCTTTCTAAGCTGCTGTGTAACTGCTGCTTCCCACTATGTTCTTCCCTTTTTCCACATTGGCTTCTTGCAGCCCAGAGGTCAGATCATCTGCTGACCCCCCCACACCAGCTCACAGGGGGAAACCAAACTTAATAGATTTTTTTTCCACGAGCGGTGCTTAATATTTTGGTCGCATAGCTCCTATAAAACCATCAACTTTGCTTTAAGTGTTCCAGATGTTATTCCGCCCGTTGATCAGGAGGGGGGGGGGGGGGGGCTCTCTTTGGTAGCGGCCCTCAAAGTGTCGAGTCAGCGCGTTCACTCTGACAGCTGCTCGGGAGTCGAGTCGGCTTCTGCAAATAAGAATCAAAAAAGACCTCCCATTTCACTGAGGACGTGAGAAAAACAACAACTATCCTGACCCCTGAACTCCTCGTCCTATCACTGCGCTTGCACGTTCCCCCCCGAGGGCCGAGATAAAGCGGAGCGGGACAGCCGGGGGGGGGGCCAGGGGGGTCAGCTGACAGCAGGTCACCTGAGGATGTTTTTCAACAAGCCGCCTTGAAAATAAGAAGGAGTCCTAACGTCGCACTTTAAGAACAAGCAAAGCGTTGCGTTACACGGTTTTAATTAGCGACGTGTTTTCTTTACTTGTCCTGCCAAAAGACACACACACGCACACACACACACACACACACACACACACACACACACACAGAGTACCGGAGCGGCGGTAAACACTTGTACTGTCCGCGTCGTGGTGCTCTAAATTTGAGCTGCAATGACTCTTACCAGTGAAGGCAAACTGAAAAAATAAAAATGAATCCCAGTCTTGTTATATGCGTACAGGTTAGTGTGTAACAAAGCAGGCTTACTGCTCATGTTTCCATGGATCCGCACAGATTTGTCCCATTTCAAACAAAATTGAATGTAGTCACACTACATCCAAAATATGAATCAATATTTTAGGCTCAATAAACTTTGTGGATTAAGAGATTATGTTCAGACAACAATACAGGAAATACATACTTACAGGAAACTTTTTTTATTGTCCCTAACTAGCTGTACTTTGTTTCCACAGCCCCCCTCGGCCACACAGCCCCCAGGATGACGGACAGATCATCTTCGACGTGGACCTGAGCGGCCGAAGAGACAGCCTAGTAAGAGCTTGTGTGTCTCCTCTGGTTCTCTAGCACTGTTGTCATGGCAACCCCACTGTCCCTAAAGTGGTGCGTTTGTTTGTGTGCATGAGAACGACAACTGGTGTCTGCCTTTAGTTTCCATGGAGATGCCTTTTCACTCGCTCTTCCTGTCCTTGATCTCTATGTGCATCACACACACACACACACACAGAAATATACAAAATGTGTCTTTTTAAAGAAAGAATTTTGTTAAATGTGTGTGTGTGTGTCTTCAGTCAGAAGAGGACGGCTTGGACAAGGAGAGGGACATGGACATCCTGATGAAGGACGCAGACTGGGTGGCTGACTGGTCCAGTCGACCGGAAAACATTCCCCCCAAGTGAGTCTCAAACACGGCAAACAGCGACGTGATGTTTCCACGGCAACAGAACACACCAAGCTGCTCGTTGGTCCGGAGGAAGTGGCCAGTCAACATTGCCGTGGAGTTTTACTAAAGCACAAACGTAATGCATGCAGCCAGAAGAGTAGACGGTTAAGTGATGTACAACGTTTAGGCCTCTGTCATATAAAAACGTGGTTCATTCAATGATGCAGCAGAAACTTACCGCGTTGCGTCTAAAGCCGCTGAACTTTTTGCAGGGAGTTTCATTTCCGTCACCCTCGCCGCTCCGTAACACTCAGCATGAGGAAGACCGGCGCCATGAAGAAAGGAGGAATCTTCTCTGCCGACTTCCTCAAAGTCTTCATCCCCTCGTTGCTGCTGTCGCACATCCTCGCTGTGGGGCTGGGGTAAGAAACGCCATCTCACAGCGGCTTCATCAAATGCATAGAACTGATACCCATTGATAGTGAACAATGCACATCAATGGTGTTAATTGAATAACTTGACTTTTCCCTGTAAGAAGTCCTCCAAATTCCTATATTTCAAAACAACGTTACCAAACAGTGCGTTTAATTTGAAATGCGTAGTTGCACGTGAATGCCACTAAGGGGAGCTGCAGCAGCAGACACAAGTCAGCTGTGCCCCCCCCCCCCTCCCTGCTTCCCTCCTCCCTCCCTCTATCCCTCCCTATCTGGACAAAGAGGGTGCACACCTGCTGTCTTGCCGGGAGCCGCTACTCCCATGAGCCCTTTCTGCTGGGGATGGCGCTCGTTATGGTAACCACGGTTCCATCAGATAATGTCACCGCATGAAGCCTCAGGCAGGAGGCGGGTCTTTGTACGCGGCACGCCGGGAATGTAATTGACATAGTCTCTGTTGGCCAATGGGGTAGTTCCTACGGTTACATAATAACTCTGTGGCGCTCTCGCTCATCAGTGCATTCTTCGTTATTAGGAAAACAACAATACCTGTTTGTTGATGTTTCAGTTTCTCTGGAAAGATACTATAGTTAAAAGACACTAATATAATGTTTCAGTTTCTGTCTTTCATCAGCTGTTAAAAGTATTCCAATGTCAGTCTTACTTATAATACAAATAAGGGAAAAGTCAAATGTGTTGAGATTAATTATCTATTTTCTACCGCAAATTAAGATGTTTTTTGGATGAGGTCGAGTTTTTACCCGGTCCGTCTCACCTCAGTCTCACCAGATCCTGCTGTAGCCCGTTTGCAACCCGACAATCGCGAAAACCACCTATCAGCGCGCACGCGGTGATCTGTAACCTGCTCCCCGTCCTCTCGGCAGGGTGTACATCGGCAAGAGGCTGAGCGCCCCCGCCGCCAGCTCCTTCTGAGCCGCCGGCCGGAGCAAAGTGCCTGAGGAGGCACCGCGAGTCAGTCGCCATCGGAGGAGGAAGTTCTGCTGTGTGCGAGAAGAGCGGCCGTCTCTTCTCCCTCTGTCCCGCCTGCCCCCCCCGGCTGTCCCCCTCCTTCGCCCCTGAGATATGCATCTGCCTTTCCCCCTCTCTCTCCTACACCCCCGCCCCCCCTAACTGTCTGTAGATAATCCGCCTTACACCCTTCACTCATTTGTGTGTGCTTTTTAAAGAAGAACGAAAAAGGTCACGTTTCCCTTTCCCCAGTGGGGGGAGGGTCCATGTTTATGACGGGTGGGTCGCAGTGTCAAATCTAACTCCTCTACTACTCAGCTAATTGATCATGTGACTACAGGGGTGGATGTGTAGACGGTTCTGCCACCTGCGCCAGTCGCCCAGCACTCGATCTCCAAAAGGGATCCACCAAATTCCAGTTTGGAAAGAAGCCGATCTTCTTTTAGGTTTTTAATTCATTTTACAGAAGTGGTGGTTTATTGAGCAGGTGTAATGAAGTTAAGATAGTGGCCATGCTGAAGGTCGGGCTCTGGGGACATGTCTGACTGTCACGCCAGGCGGGACGGATTCCTTTCACTCTTTCGGAATTAGAACAGACTCTAATCTGCATCTGAATGAATATTTTGCCAAGCAATAATACCTGCAAATAAGGCACCAGATGTGTGTCGCGCAGGCGGGCGGACAGTATTTCACGGTTGGCTGCTATGACGTGATGCCGTGGTCGTTGCGTCATATCCAAAGACATCAAGAAGCATTTAGTTAACTAGAAGTTGTAAAATATAATATCTGAACTTTCGTCCTTTTAATCTGAGGATTGAGTCGTATTATTTTAAAAGTATTTCCTGTAAAATGAGTGAAATATTAAACTGGAATCAGTTGCCTTTTGCTTTCCAAATGGTTCGGTCAGGAGAACACATTTATAACAGCTTTATCTTCGGCCCTGCTTTCTCACAACATGTCTGCAGAACTGACGGAGACTGACTGCAGGTCTTTGACAGGCGAAAAGCGGCCCTCACTTTGAAATTTGTCGTGGTGACACACTACAGATGTTTAGCAGCTTCCAATCCACCGAGGGGGGGTTTGTTTGGACCCGAGCGAGCGCCACGCACACTCGTGTGAGGTTTTCTGCTTCACTGCAGGACTGTGGCCAGTTCGGCTCCAAGTGGACCTTCCACAGTCCAGATCTCCTTAAACAAACCCCACAATATAAAAACTTATGTTTTAGTTACTTGTAAGTAAATTAACTCTCTTTCTTCCACTACATAACAGATGCACAAGTCTTGATTGATGCGCTAAATGATTTTCAGTTTTAAAGGTGGACCTTTTCAAAAGATTGCGGAGTGATTACTACAATTCAGTTTTACATTTCACGGGGCAAGAAAAGAGTTGACAAAAAGGAATAGCTTGCATGAGCTCTGACCGAACGGTGGAGTGTCATCTTTGGGTGAAGTATCTGAAAAACAATCACAAAACTCACCAGAACATTTAGTTGATGACCAAAGGTGATGTTTGAAACTTCACTGCTGGTAATCGAGTACATGTTCAGGGAGGCCTTCATCTGGTGCGCAGACTCCATTTCCTTCTTATAGCTCATTTACTAGCATATGATGATCTCCATTTCAACCACAGCTCTGCAGCACACACACAGTCCCGTTTGACGGTAGTGTTGTGGATCCTTCTTTCCGGATTGAAGTGTCTTTTTTTTCCCTCCCTGATTGTGTACTCGCAGAGAAGGAGTCGAGTTTGAAAGTGTGGAAACAGAAATCTCACTGTTGATGGCAGAGCCTACTGTGAATAGGAGAAGGAAGATGTGAAAGGAGACTTTCCTCAGATTGTGATGGTGAACATTCGTTATTGTAATTATGCGTTTGCTGTGATTTTCTTTTTTCCCCCCACATTGAAAAATGTAATCAATATTTTGCCATTAAATATGACCTGAAGGAAGCTTTTCCCTGACTTGGCCTTTTATTTGTTTCTTTGTTTTATTTATGACCCTTCTGAAGAAATCAGGGTTTGCTTGTTTGATACTTCAACCTTTAAAGAAGTATTACTGAAAATCTTAAAATGATTAGAAACTAACTGGAGAATTTAACTATGCTGCTAAATCATTGTGTGTAAAACTACAAGGGAAATAAAGGATCTAATTTTACTGTGCTTCAATTTACCATATAAGATACGAGAAGCACCCAGAGTCACTAAACTAGAGCTGAAACGGCTACATTGAGGCTGACTCGTTGCCTACTGAAACATCTTTCTGTCAAACATAACAACCTAAGCTCAAGTGTCAAGTTGTTCTTCCCGTAACCCTCCACCCATTCGACCTTTAACCTTGACCTGGATGTTTCAGCTGCCTGAAACCAGAGCAGGAAGACCTTCGGGAGGAGGTCAGGTCGGAGCTGACGTTTAACTATTTGAAGCTGAGCCGCTAAATGTCTCTGTCTGTGCCCGTGGAAGACGCTCCGCAGGGTCCTTTAAGGTGTTTCCCAGCGCTAACCGTGGACTTTGTTCCAACACACCTCAAAGTATTCAGAGATCACCAATATATTGCTTCTTTTCTTGTTGCCTTGTCTTTGACAACACAAGACAGGTGTATGTATCAAAAAGCCTATTTGAAACGTGATTACAGGATATGACTTAAGCATGACACACTTGTAAGATATTTAGTTTTCATTCTGCAGTCTGCACCTCCAGAAGGGACATTAGTGCTGCCATACGAACAACATGTGTTCAGGTAATGTCGGCCCCGCTGCGCCTTCACCTCTCGCTTATTACTCAGTGTCTTCACTGGGATTTGTTTGCAAATCCTAAACCAGCTGTCGGATATAAAAGCTGAGTTGCTGTTCAGCCCCTCCACACTTTCACCATTGAGATGGAAGATTGTTTGAAAAGGTAGCTGTTTCGTGGCCGAGACGCAGCAGTGATGTCACCGCGCTCGGCATAGAAACAGTCTGGCACATCACACATAGTTTTTATAATTTGATTTCTGTACAGATTAAATAAACAACTTAGCTTCCCATCACATTGAGGCAGAATCAACATGAATCAACATAACTGTGAATTTGACAGTTGTTAGCCAATAAGTTGTTTTCAACAGTATGTCCCTTGATTATATCTTAAATTGTCCATTAAAAGGACAGTAACACGCAGAACTTGATAAGCAGACCGTCGGCACAAGCAGTTAAACTTCAAATTACATTGCAAGATCAACGTAAAACAAGAGACCCAATCTGACCGACAAAAAGACAAGAACATGAAAGCAGAAGCCTGCTGGAGGTACTGACCCGCAGGCCGACACGTCCTCCTTGCTTTTAGGCTTTATGCTAAGCTAAGTGGCTGCTGTATGGATGACATGAGTCAGTCGTCAGTCCATCTCCACATCCAACACTCAACAGGAAAAAATGGAAATCCTTCCCAAAATGAATGTTTCCTTCAAGATTTAGAGGTACTAATCACATTTGAACAATCCTCTTTTACAAAAACGCCCCAGACACAAGTGAAGGTTTTGTTATTGACATTTCAAAAATGAATGTGTAAATTAAAGGTATTAGGTGGTCAAGATATGGAAAGTCTGCATCTAATAATTCATAACATAAAGGAAGAGCAAAGTGCAAAAGAGAGTGTTTTCATTCCCAAGAACAGACAAAGCTCTGATAATAATGTTGATTATCAATTATGTCACTGATCTGAACACACACACACACTGAGCCCTGCCTCACCCTCCCTACATGGAACCTCAGAACACCTGTTCCTGGCCAATCCGGACACGGTGAGCAACTCTGCTCCTCCCACTGCAGTTGATGGCGTTACCATGGGTTACAGGGTGGTGGCCGGCTACATCTCCATCCCTCTGGTGAGGAGACTTTTTCCTCCTCGTCTCCTCAGAATCCAGCGGCACCACACTGCAGCTGCTTTACATCAGCTGCAGACAGAGTGGTGACAGTGTACCAATGATGCCTCATAATTCAGTCTGCTTGTGGTGCTCATCTGCATGATGAGCTGCATCCCTACAGCTGTTACAAATGTTAAAACATCAGCTGCGTTCTTGCTTTATTTATAAAGTCAACGAACTGAGCAGCTCGGATTGCAGTCACACGAAGCCATGAAATATGGAAAAAGTCATTTGTCTTTAGTGCGTGACAGAAATGTCCTTTCCTGTTGGCAGGCGGGTTCGTCCCGTTTGTCTTTCATCTTCTTACTCGCTTCCACCTGTCTTCCATGGAGAAGAAATGAGAGTTTCTGCAGTTTAACGATCAAAGGGATGAAAAAAAATGTCAACACTATTTGTATCAATGAAAGAGAGAAGCAAGTTTCAGAGTACTTATTAGAAATGCTGCTTTCTGTCCGGGTGGGCGGGCGGCCTAACAATGATTGATTGACAGCACAAAGTCAACAAACCTACAACTGTACTTCGACAGTGTTTGAGGTTGAGGTCACGACACTTACCATCTGCACCATCTGAGTTTTGGCATGCCTGCTAGTTATCCATCCGGCAGTGGAGACCTTTTAACGTGGGCTTTCAAACCGGAGGCTTTCTTGTGTTTATGTCTCGGACTGCTGCCAGCAAAAAAAATGTCATGAAAACGCAACATTGGAACGGGGCGACTTTTTTCAGCTATTGGGGGCAGTTCCTCTGGATGCTTACAGAAGTCTGATCAAATAGTACATTTTATAAACATGAGTTTATGGTCTCAATTAGTAGTTTTAAGTCTTCTCCAACACGCCATGATGCTTATTTAGTGAATAAGAGTCAGACAATTATGGGCCCAAAAAGTCCTGGCTTCCCTGTGCATCATTTGGTCTGAAGTTGATTTAGTTTTTTACTTTCTATGTTTAGGAAGCAAAATAAGGGAGCAAAGGGAAGAAGACATGATTGAACGGTTCTCCTATTCTTTTCCTTTCTCTGACATTCTTACCTCTTTCCACTTCGGCCTCTCTGGAGACCTCAGTCCTGGCGTCTATGTACACTGAACTGAACCAATAATCTAAACTAATCTAATGAGCAGCTTCTCCATGTCTTCATGGGGAGCGGCCCATTAGAGAGTCCTTCATGCTGCTACATCTGCTCCTGGATGCCAGGGCCGTGCCCTTCCTGTCCAGAGACCGGACTCCCTCCGCCTCTCCCAGCTGTGATCGGGCATGCTGCCAACTTTCCCCTCTAATTGTGAAATGCCCCCCCCCCCCCCACGCTTCCCCTGCCCCATCTCTGCCCTCGGCGGAAGACAGTTGTATTGTTTTGCGGCGCTGTCTTAGCCATTGACCGTGGTTGCACCCTCAACATTTTTCCTTTTCGGTATCCAACTTTGACATCCAGACATCAGACTGTTATCTTCTCCTGCAGAGTACCCCCCCCACCCCCAACCCCCTCCACACACACACACACACACACACACACACACACCCTTACAGACTCCAGACTCCAGGGAGGGGAAATTGCAGGAGCAAAGCCATTTGCTGCCCACCGTGTTGTTATAGCAACTGTGTGGACATGGACTCAGTGCTGAAATGTTCTAAACGGACACTTGTGCTGAAGAGCTTTTGTCTGCTGCAACGTGCAGCGTCAACAATGTGAAGCGATTCCTGGCGACTCTCATCGATCATCGTGCAGCACTGATTCATTCACACCACTACATCCCAAATGATGTTCATTACAAAGCATTAATGCAGATATATTTATCAAATGGCAAATTATAACTTAAGTGTGAGCAACATGGCATATTGAGGAAGTTCAATCCATAAATGTAGGATATTACCAGTTGCCACAAGTTATTACTTGTAAATGCTGCACCTCAATATGCTTTTGTGTGATGGATCAAATTGCACGGATCCAATTGATTAATGCAACTCATACTCTTGCTCGAAGAGTATGATGTATAGTATATCGATAGTAATAAATACTAAAGTTACAACAAGGAAAAATCCTGGTTTACCGCTGAGCTCAGATAGAAACGTCTTCATAGAGGATAAGCATTCAAAAGTGAAGACTAAGACTTCTATGAAGACGCAAATTTGTCGTGAGAGATGCTAAAGGACTCTGAGAAGCTCCAGCGTCAACAACCGTTGCCTGGCAGACGAGCTGAACGAGTTCTACTGTTGCCCTGATGGACAATGGGACAGTTCATCAACCAGCTCAGGACCATCAGGCCCCCCTCACACGGCTTAACCCCAGAAAGGCCGTTGGGCCTGACTCTGTCTCACCTCACACCCTGAAGCACTGTGCTGATCAGCTGTCTGCGGCGTTCACAGACATCTTCAACACCTCGCTGGAGACATGACACGTACCAGGCAGCTTCAAAAAAACAAACAAGGACCATGACGTTTTTTAACGCATTGGCTTTACCACCTGAAACCACAGACCCACTCCTGGACCCCCTGCAGTTCACCTAGAGAGCCAAGGGTCTGTGTGGGAGGTGAACATCAGCTCCATCACCAAGAAGGCCTCGGCAGAGGATGTACTTCCTGAGGCAGCTGAAGAAATTCGAGCTGCCAAAGACAATGATGGTGTACACAGCCACCATTGAGTCCATCCTCTACACCTCCATCATAGAGCCCAGGACAAGAGCAGGCAGCATGTGTCATTCGCTCTGCTGAGAGGGTGATTGGCTGCAATCTGTGATCCCTGAATGACTTGTTCACTTCAAGGGCCCTGAATCGAACAAGGAGGATTTTCCCCCAATAAAATTGCTTCTTCCCAACATTAGCCAAGCTCATAAATGAAGCCTGGGACCTCCTGATGCAGTTGTATAAAGAAACAATAAGCCTCTCGCAGGCTTTTAACAAATCTTTTGGCGAATTTGCAATGGAAACTAATTTTTCTGTCCTGTGTTTGTGACTATAAGTTAGAAATCGTGTTGTTTACCTGCTTGGATACAGAACATTTAATAGACTTTCACTGACTCCTAACACTACAATAATTCCAGCCCTGGTTACTGAAATATTGATGTGTATTTATCATAGTGGAAGGTTAATGAAACCCATCATCGATGTAAGGCATGGCTTCCTGAATACATTTAATGCATTGTATACTGTAACCACAGTGCAGAGCATTCATTTGCATTGTGACAGCATTGAGTTAAACTCAATATTTAGAAGTTAAAAAATTATCCGAAGCTGGAAAAAGTGTCTGAAAACACCTGACTGAGCAGAAGTTTGGAGTGCAGGAGTTTACCAAGGTAACAAACTATAGTAACTAAGGGTTACTACATTTATTTAGAGTAGCCAATTTCTTTTGATACAAATTGAAGTAGGGAGAAAATTAAACTGAGAATATGATGTGGAAATTGTTGTGTTCAAAAAAGAAAGAAACTCTGGACGGACAGAAGACATCTGGGATTGAAAGTTAAAATCAAATGTATTTAATAAAAGAAAAGGCGGTGCTAAAAAGAGGAGCTGCTGGTCTCTGCAATCAACAGGCTCATTGACTCCCCATAGTGATTGTCTCTTGTTTCCACCAACGAACTCCTAGAACAATGGATGCCTACAGGTATTTATACAGATCAGTAAAGGTATGAAAGACATCCTCTGCTCCTCCATCACCGTCTGGTACGCTGCAGCCACAGCCAAGGACAAGGGCAGGCTGCAGCGTGTCATCCGCTCTGCAGAGAGGGTGATCGGCTGCAATCTGCCGTCCCTGCAGGACTTGTTCGCTTCCAGGTCTCTGAAGCGAGCTAAAAAGATCGTAGCCGACCCCTCTCACCCCGGACAAAAACTGTTTGTGCCCCTTCCATCTGGCAGGAGGCTGAGGTCCATCAGGACTAAGACCTCCCGCCACACCAACAGTTTCTTCCCGTCGGCAGTCGGGCTCATCAACAGAGCCCGGTCCCCCACTGACTGACTATAACATTCCATCGGTCACTCCCCTTCACACTGCACATGTCACTTTAACTGTTATTTTTCACTTTGTCGTCACTCGTCACTTTGTTACTTGTTCGCTAGTGCACTTTATGCTTAATATTTTTTAACTTTAATATTTTAAATTTTTAACTAACTTTAATATCTTGTTGTATACCCATAGGCTTATTCTACTAACCCATTGCATTACCATTTCATTTTACTTTATTTTATTACTTGTGCACTGCTGTCTTGTTGTCGATTGTTACACTGTCTACTGTCACACATCAACCGCCAAGACAAATTCCTTGTATGTTTGACATATTTTGGCAATAAATGTTTCCTGAGGTTTGCAGACAGAATATTCTGTGGATTACTGCTGTAGCCTGGCAACAAGAAACTAATGTCATTTTAGGTTTAGGTTTGTTCAAAGCAGAAGCTGAGATATGTCGTTTAGTACCCAGGATAAGGTCAAGACACTGCTCCACACTTTCAAATATTGCAACCTACACCCTATTTTCTCCCTATTCGTTTTTTTTGTTTTATTTCCAAGCTTGTACGTCATCATATCTAATATGGGATTGAGAAGCTTTCTCAACTTTTAGTGAGAAGCTTTCTCAACCACAAACTATGTTATTTGTCTCGTTGTCCATTGTCTCATTGTTTTACTGTCCGATGTTATGCACCAACCGCCATGTCAAATTCCTTGTATGTCTAACATATTTTGGCAACAAATGTTCCTGATTCCTGATTCCCTAAACACCACGTCTCTGTTACGTATCTTGGCTTAATGTTCACTATACTTTTTAATTGTAAACTGCTCGACTTCCGTCACACTCACGTTCCTTTGTTCATGACGTCCTCTGTACCTGTCCGGTGCCACACGCGCGCCTGAGACGACCAGAACCCGCTTGGTGCTGAAGGGACAGCGCCGCTCACTGCTGGCTGGGTGTGACTTTTGGGGGGAGCTCTCCGCGGTGCTGAACGCCTCATGACCTCAAACCTTGTGCCATAAAACACACCCTCTGGGACACACAAACACACAGAGACACCAACTGGATGGCACGTTCCACCTATTAGATGACTCAGCGTTTGATGGATTAGAATCTTTGGCGTGGGACCAGAACATGACCCATCACTTCCGGTCACTCATATCAGGTGCTACAGGTAATCCCTCACTCTGCTCCGCATAGCCCATTGGATCTTTAATGTGACACAGCTAGACAGCAGGTCTCTCGCTCGGACTGTATGCTGAGAGCCGTGAAGTCGCAGGAGGATATCGGCTGCAGGCTTGCGGGGCTCATCTGGACCCATGAGTAAGCAAATCCAAACGGTGTGCCGATCATAGAGCGGGGGGGACGGCGGAGGATTGTCTCACACGTCTACCTAAGGACATTACGTAGGTCCACAGTGCATATCTCTCTCCCTTGCGGTGGGAGTGTTTTCACGCAGCATTAGGCGAACAGATCTTTGTCACATCGCGACCACCTGCGCGTGAGTACCGGCAAGAAACAGAGAAAAAAGGCGGTGGCTGTTTAGACGTGCGGAGCTGAAGAAGAGAAAAATAAGCAACTGAGAGAATCTGAGGGTCCGGTCGTATACTTACACAAGAAACCTCGCAGTCCCAATCCGCCCCAACGTCACCGGCAAGGCATGTCGACCACCGGGGAAGTACCAGCCTTCTTCAAAAGCATGGGCTCCGACAGCCCTTCCAGGCCCAGGCAGAAATTCTGTGGCATGTTCTGCCCGGTGGAGGGCTCCTCGGACAGCAAGACGCTGGACTTTGACGCTCTGTCGGCGTGCAGGGGCAAGAGTGACGGGCGAGTCATTGACCGGCAGACCGACATCTCCCAGCCGCGGAAGGTGGAGATCAGGGAGAGCACGGGGAAAGAAGCTCTGCAGAACCTGGACGATAAAAGGGTAATTTCCCCCTTTTTTTCCATGCTTATTGCACATGTTTTTATTTTTTTCCCCATACGCATCCTCTGTTTTTTATTTGGTCTGTCCTCCAACATTCAAGCATTCTGACCTGCGCCATTTCCATTCAACATTTTTTCAATTTACAGCCTCCAGTCGTTTGAGTTTATTGAAGCTTGCAGCCCAATGTATGCGAAACAACTTGCCTGGACTACATTTCCCAGAAGGCTTTGCGACGGAGTAGATGGAGGGTCCACCATGCAGAGCAAACAGAGGGAGTGGCTCCTGTTAGTTGGAGCTGCATTAGTGTTGATTTGCTGCACGGTGCAGCTGATGGTAGAAAGCTGTGTTCAATAAGTGTCTTGAGCATTAAGAGATCTGAATGAGAAACAATATATTCATGTATGAACGGGACACAGATGGTGTGATGTGCGTTTGCTGCGTGATTGTGCATTGAGTTTTTCTCCAGCAGCGTTGAGGGTGTGGGCCTGGTGCAAAAGAGATGGTGGCTTTGAACTGCACTTGGACGAAAAGTCGTCAACTTTTATTTGCTGCTGGTTGGAGCTCACCACATGGCTGCTAGTTGGGTGGTGAACCTCGTGCTGGTAGTACAAGCGCTTCTTTTATACCTAATATCAGCACTCAGGATGCTTTTGGGAGCTTTGCCACTTTGCATATAGTGGTGACCAGCCTCATGTTACATATTGATTGGAAGCATTAATCATCCAAGCTGAGTGTTAAATCTATTGTACTCTCACATGTAGTGGTTGGTTCTGCTCCTCTGGGATGAACAAATATACATTGATATTAGTTGTATTTGTTTTTGCATATTAATGAAAAAAAACTAACCCAATTAAACAATGGGATGTTTAAAGTTGACTTCTTGGCATCCAGCAGACTGCAATGGTGAAAAGTAACCGAGTACATTTACTCATGTACTTACAGTTAAGAAGTATTTACATTTCTACCAATTCTTGTCAGAAGCAAATATTACACTTTTCACTCCACAACAATTACGGACAAGTGATTCGTTTCTTTGCGGATTCAGATTCATAATACAAAATGAACGACTAGTTTATAAAATGATTATAATGAAATTCATGAAATTGACACGCTGTAACTTGTATATTAACATCTAAAAAATAATCCCCATCTTTACACATTAACGTCTCACTAAACATATATCAAACTTATATCTTTGCACTTTTTAACAAAAAGGAAAAGGAAATACATCTTAATATATCCTGAGCTGGCACACAAGCAACGCTTTCTCTCTATTATAAATGAGAAATTGACATAGAAAACATCCAGGACATCCAGGATACAACATAGAAAACATACATACTTATTGTCATGTAGTTTTGCTTTCACAGCTACACCTGGTCTGATATCTTTTATAGCATTATTTGGAAAGTGACCGATTGTGTATCTGAGTTTATTTTGGGACAGATTGTTATTCGAGGTAATGCACTGTATGGTAAATATCACCATGGTGCCCTTCAAAATCACCAATAAGTAGTGATTCAAGAAAATGGCCCTAGAGGTGGTGGAGCTGTCTGAACACCGACTGAGATTTGATTTATTTCCATAAAAATAAAGGTTTTAAAACACAACAGACGAAGAAGAGCCAATATGGCTGCCGACCGCTTTTTCGTCGGTTCAGCCTGCGCACTCTCTGCCTTCACTAATCCAAAGGGGAGCAAATTTATGGTATTAGCGGCTCTTTCCTGTCAGTGGAGCAGGGCGAGGCTCTGCGCATGCGCCGTGGTGTCCTTTCATCGGGACGAGGCTCGCCAGCGGTCCCTCCCCTCTCTCCCTCCCCTCTCTCCCCTCTCTCTCCGTCTGGGAAAAAAAAAGAAGAAGGTTTGGTGCATCGGCGGAGACCGGGCGGCTGCCAGGACGCGATCCGGAGTTGAGAGACAACTTTCCCTTGTCCATTTGTGGCCTTCCGAGGAATAAGCTGAGTCCTTCCTCCCTCCTTCTTCTCCTTCTTCTTCGACCTCCTTCGAGCAGCGGTAATCCGTAACCTCCGCGAACCACCAGCGAAGATGTCCGGCTACCAGGGCAAGAAGAACATCCCCCGCATCACCGTGAGTGGGGCGGAAAACAACCCTTGTTCTTTAGACGTCGAAGCCGCCGAATGTGAGCTCTCGTCCGCCGCTCCCCCCGGCGCGAGGAGCCGCTGAAGGGCACGCGGCGCCGAAGGGGCCCGCTCCCCCCGGGGTGCAGCGCTCTGCGGACGCCCCTCGGTTGTTGTTCTGTTTAATCGGTGAAATCCGCGCTAGGGTCGACTAATCGACGGGGCCGCGGGTGGCACGGCGGTGGTGTGGTTACAGGAAGGTGTCTCTTTTATGTTTTTTTTATTATTTTCACCCCCCCCCCACAGCATCCTCGCGACAAGTGCTCGTCTCCGGTAGTTTAACCCTCGCGAAACGTGTCACCGCTCGATTGTGCGGTCGCGCCGGTCTTGTTACGCTGTGCGCGTGGGAGAGCCGGGTGTCCGTGCACGCCTTCCCCGCATCCGCTGTAACACACTCGGTACCCGGGCGGGACCGGCCCCCACACCTCCCCCCACCCCGCCTCCTCTTCGGCACT